TATAACCCTATATCCGAATCAAATCACCTTCCTAGCGATCTCTCAGTAAGAGGTTATTAATACAATTAAACGAGCTCCACCTGATAAAGCGCCTGGTAAGGATAGTATCCCGAACCGCGTATAGAAGATGCTGGCAGATAGTAGCCACGACTTCGTGGTGATCTTGACAGCTATCTTCGACGTATATATACTAACGGGCTATAATCCTTGTCACTTCTAGGCGTCTGTTACGGTAACGCTTCGTAAGGGCGGCCCACGAAATTTTCGGTAACCGAAATCGTACCGGCCAGTTATGCTATTAAACACTATCGGCAAGATCCTAGAGTCTATCATCGCTACACGTATCGTATAGGCCGTCGAGGAATATAGCCTACTCCTAAAGACCTGCCTTAGTGGCCGGAAGGGGATCTTAGTAGATTATGCGATCTAGCTGATCCTTGACTGTGTGCACCGCGTATAGGGGCGGGGTAAAAGGGTGTCGATGCTACTACTTAACGTGGCAGGGGCCTATGATAATGTCTTACACGAACGGTTACTGCATAATGTAAGGTAACTCTGTCTAGGCCACTTCGCGCTATGGATTATATTATTCCTTCGCAATAGGAGCATACGTAATAAGTTACTAGGATATCTCTCAGACAGCTTTCCCACACTTACTGGTATCCTACAAGGCTCGCTAATCTTACCGATTCTGTTATTACTATTCAACGCCCTACTTGTCTCGGCCTGTAGCACACATAGAGGTAGAATAAGCGTGGTATATAGCTTTGGATAGGTTAACGATGTGGTAATTGTCGTAGAATTAGATATATACTATAGCAATATTAAGCTACTAGAGAAAGTGCTAGGCAGGGCTAAGTAATAGGCGAAGCGATATACAGCTAGGTTCGTACCTAATAAGTTCGAATTAATCCACTTTAACAATCAGACAGAGAGTGAGATAACACAATCTACCGATCCGAATAAGAACGAGACAGAAACCAGTATATAAACCGATATTGAATCCGATATCTTCGACTACACAACGTAACACCCCGAGGGGAACGACCGGATACCTGTTCAATACAACTACTTAACAATACAACCGACATAATCTACTAAATACTTAGGCGTATAGCTCAACAAACGCCTCGATTTCGATATATACCGTCACAAGCTACTTGCTAAGGCTAACGGCAGCCTAGAAGCACTCCGGGCGATAATAGGGTCGGTATAGGGGGCCTCACTAGTAGCAATACAAAAGGTATACTAAGCAGTAGTCGTGCTATAGATACTCTACGGAATATCTGTATAGTACTGCCCTGCAGCTAGATCTTTGCCTGTATAGGAGATAAAGTATACAGTCTGTCACGGGTTAGACCCGCTTCTTACTATGTGGCCCTGCCACATAGCCTTCCCCGCACGTTCCGTTCTGCCACCGCCCTGTCTGCTTACTTCTATTGTTGTTCCGCTTGATCCACTCCTTCTCTTCTCCAAGCTTTTTGTAAACAGCATGTTGGCCTAGTTAGATTGAATCAAGTCTTGCTTCAGCCTTTCACATACAAAAAGCTTCCTTCTCGTGATCGAGTCGTACTAGCCAGCCAGCCAGACTTTCGTTTTCCCCTAGCCAGACCCCCGATTCCCCGCCGAAATGGACCAGAACCAGCCCCTTTTTGCTTTAATTCAGCAACTCCAGCAACAACTCGTCGACCAGCAACGCCAGCTAGAGACCCTCGCGCCTACTCGCTCGCATTTCAGACTACCAGACCCGCCTAGATTCGACGGCCGACCATTTAGTCTAAAGACGTGGCTTCCAGCTGTTCAAGCAAAGCTACGGTCGGACGGCTTAGCCGGTCAACAAGCATTCGACTACGTATACGATCGCCTTGAGCCACCCCAGCAAGCCTCAGTCTTACATCTTCGCGAAACCAACCCGACACCCGAAGCAGTCTTCCAGTATTTCGAACGTCTTTGTCATAATCCTCGTGAGAAACAAGATGCAGTTCTCCGATTCGCCAATATCCGCCAGAAAGACGACGAAAGCCTAGTTGCCTACCTCGCCCGATTCGAACGTCTATCGCACGAAGCTAAGGTTCACCAGCAGGATCTACTTCGTACGATTACGCTACACCGCGGACTACGCCCCGCGTTACGCCAGATTCTTGAGCAGTCGTATGACACTCTATTCGATCTCGAATACGATGATTATATAGAACTACTCCAACGTCATGACCGCCGCCAGCAGCGCCCGGTCACCCAACGCCAGAACCAGACTAGCCAGAACCAAACTCGCCAGACTCAGACTCGCCAAAGCCAGCTAGACCTAATGGACCTTGACCCAGTTCGTATAAACGCCGCCCAATCATCACCAGTTCGAGTGAAATCAAACCGCGTGCGCCTATCAAAACCGCCACTCCCACTAGGCTTTAATAACCCCGCTAATATCGCCGAGCGCGCGAAGCACGGGCTTTGCTACTACTGCGGTGCATGTAGTCACTGGATATCTGCGTGTCCTTTTCGACTTGCCGCGAATAAACGGTCTAAATCCCTCAGTTTAGATTCAGCAACGGACCAGTCCCGAAACGACCCCGATTCGTCGCCGTTTTGGAATTCAGACGGTTACGACTCAGATCACCCTTCTGACCTAGGAGGGGGGTAATGTCACGGGTTAGACCCGCTTCTTACTATGTGGCCCTGCCACATAGCCTTCCCCGCACGTTCCGTTCTGCCACCGCCCTGTCTGCTTACTTCTATTGTTGTTCCGCTTGATCCACTCCTTCTCTTCTCCAAGCTTTTTGTAAACAGCATGTTGGCCTAGTTAGATTGAATCAAGTCTTGCTTCAGCCTTTCACACAGTCGACGAATTTACTAAAGTTCAACAACGTACGGCGATTCTTATCAGCGGTGCCTTTAAATCCACTAGTGCGGCAGCACTTAACGTAGAGCTCTTTATTACACTAATACACCTACTTATAGACTAAATTATCTAGGAAACAGCAATCCGAATCCAGACAGGTGCTATATAGGCCTAGCCGAAGCATCTACATCGACAGCGATCCCCCGGGGAGATCAAAAAGGGGGGATAGAGCCCTCTCGAAGCCCTTAAATAGAAGAGAGACGGTATTTTGAACCAGCAAGGGATATAGGAATCGCGCAAAGCGTTTGTTCTAGCGCTATAGGAGGCACGGATCCTATGCACTATCGAGCACGACGTAGAGGCTGCGCGGGCCTCGTATGATAAGATCGAGAAAGAATCTCTCTAGCAAGCTGTACTAGACCGAACCTCGACGGTCTTATTCTTCACAGATAGAAGTAGGTATAAAGGCTAGGTTAGCGCTTCAGCCGTTGCCCTACGTAAGGGCGTCTTTTAACAGCGATATTGTCAACATGTGGATGTGCGATACCCCGCACTGAGCGTGTAGATAAGCAATACACATCGGACCAATCGGATATCCACCACTACACGATACGATGATAAGATATCAACTATCTTATCAAATGGAAAGAACAACGAGTTTCCTAACACTCTCGTATCCCCCATGTTACTCTGAGAGTTTTATCAGTCTTTTTTCTTGACATTCTGCTATGTACCCAAAGTTATAAATACTGCCTGTTTCCCTAGTTAAATTGAACAAGTTTGACACCATTTTCACTCACGAATAGAGCTCAAGGCAATTCTGATTTAACTGTGTTGACCCTCCACTGTTCAACCTGTTCGCTGCCGACCCACCTCTATTGCACTCTCGTCACTCTTCCATAATCGTGGTATTCGATCGACCTGTGTGCGCCTCTAAGCACACCCCAGGGTTTATGCACACGGCGTAAATCCGACAGATATCTTAGAATAAGTAAGGAATCCACAGTGTACGTTGCCGAGCTTAACGGCATTGAAATAGCGATTGCTAAGTTCATTAACCAACAACAACGTAGTATAAGGCCTATAAGGATAGTCATTTTCTCCGATTGCTAGGCCGCTATCTAGGCGGTGCAAAACCTAAAGCGATTGTCGGGCTAGTTATTACTGATCGTTATACACGTTGACGATTCGAAGCTCTCCAGATAACTCGGTCTTCACGCAGACCTCCTAGTAGTCGCGAGAGTGCACAAGGTGAGTATATTCACCTAGCTTCCTTAAAACGAACATACACACTCTCGCCCTACCGCCTGTTTCGCTCGCCACCGGATACAATAGCTCATACGTCTGTTTCAGCGGGTAGTGGGTGTTATCCTAAAAGGGATTCTCCTACGGCTCCTGGATAGCGATAATATCGGCGCTAACGACCTCTTCCTCACGCAGGAACTGTGCCATCACCATATCCTTCGATCTATACACGTTGTACTAGTATATTTTAAGGTCCTTTAGTATGTATTGTTATCGGTCGTGACGATTTATTAGTGGCGAGATATAGAAGATTTCCTGCTGTGGAACCTACGTCTCCTAGCTAAGCGAATGTTAAGAGAGATATCTTCGCTATAAGGCTATTTCCTCTTCAATCTTTCTAGCGAAGGTTAGTATTCTTTATCCCCGTTCTCTTCGTGTCTATTGAGAGATAAGGCAAGGTCGTTACTAAGCTGTTGTTCTAGGTCTCTTATATTAACTGTCACGGGCCAGTGCCCGATATAGGTCACGTGTATCACGAGACCTTGGCGTATTGACGTGGAGAACGCGCGGGATAAACTTCCCCTCCTTAAGCTTTTTGTAAACAGCATGTTGGCCTAGTTAGATTGAATCTAAGTCTTGCTTCAGCCCTTCACATACAAAAAGCTTCCTTCTACACCTAGAAGTATCATTGGTCATTGGAAAAGCCCTAGGAAAGCGACCTAGGCACTCATTGGAAACACCCCTGAATCCCAAGCGATTCAGTGACGAACACATATCGGAACGGAATCCTCGCGCATAGATCTCTCAGCGCTCGAGACGGATTAGAAAGCCCTAGAAGATCTCAATTCCTAGGCACACTGGAACATTGGACGAAAAGCGACCGAAGCATTACCGGCACGCTACACAACCCCTAGGCGCTATGCAGCACCAGGAATCGACGAGCCCTCCCGGGTGGGCGCAAACGCTATTACAGCAGATAGCACAGACCCAGGCTATGCAGAACGAAGAAAGGGAGCGGCGTCACCAGCAAGATGCTGCTCAAGAGGAGCGGATGCGTCGCCTCGAGGCAATGCTGGAGCATCAGGCCTCACTAGCCATAACGACAACCACGACGAACGAAGGGCAGGCGACACCTGCACGATCAGCCACCGAATCGGTGCCGGTTCCCCCACGAACAGAGATTGTTCACCGACCGAAACCACGTCTCCCGGACCCAAAACCATTCGGTGGAAGCACGAGCGATTGGCCAACCTGGCGCATTTCGATGGAGAACAAGCTTAGTGTGGACGGCGAAGCTATCGGTTCCCCTCAAGACCAATTCATGTACGTATTCTCTAGACTAGAGAAGCTCGCCTGGAAGAATACTGGAACCTTCGTGAAACTCCGCCGGAACACTGGCGAACCGCAAGCCTTACTCGGCCACCTTGAGAATATCTACGGAGACCCGAATATCAAAGCACGCGCAGCAAGACGACTCCACTAGATTCGACAACCAGAAGACATGAGCTTTTCTAGGTTCCTTCCTAGACTAGAAAAGGAATTCGCTGATGCAGACGCTCTTGAATGGCACGACGAGGCAAAAAGGCAGATCCTTCTTAGCGCGCTCAATAAGACTATGACGAATGCGTTAATGAATCGAGGCATCCCTGCTACCTCGGCGGACCTGATCTCCCGGCTTCACGAGATCAGCTCAGATATGGATGCCCTTAATATCAACAAAGAGGAACGAACACGTCGTCCGCGCTCGCCTAGACAAAATAGCGATGAAATGGATTGGACACCGACTGTGTCGGTAACCCGTGCCGAACTACACACGAAACACCGCCGACCCGAAAGCGGAACGCCGAGACAAGCTTAATGGGTTAGTCAGGACGAGATAGATCGGCGACGTGCTGAAGGGAAATGCCTACGATGTGGAAAATCTGGATACCTTATCGCGAGGTGCGCGCTCCTACCGGCACAACGGCCGAATGGTACACGTATCGCTACTACCTCGAGCAAGAAGGGAAAGGAGCGCACGGTCAAAGTGAAGAAGTCGAAGCCTGCAAGTGACTTAGATTTAGTAATAACGGCTTCTGACGACGAGAGTGTGACTACTGAGGATGAATCGGGAAAAGAGTAGCTCCTGTTCTAAGTCGCGAGCAGGAGCAAAAGGGGGGTCGAGAAGCTACTGGAACGTGAGACATTACCGTTTATAGTCGATGCTAGAGTGAATAGAATCCAATTTACACAAGCTCTCGTCGATAGCGGCTGCCGCTGCTATGTAACGGTAAACGAGTCTCTAGTCCAGTCGCTCGACCTCCCGCGCATTGAGATACAGCCACGAGTCCTTGACGGGGTGGTGCCGGATCAGTACCGAATCACCCACATTACCCATTTCGACCTCGACGTCCACGGCCAGCAACAAGGCCGCGTGTTTGCGTATATCATCGGACCCCAAAGCGACAGTATGATACTTGGGGACCTATGGCTACACGACGTGAACGGACGATATTCAGCACGGAAAGGATACCTAGATATCTTCATAAAGTCTGGGGAGCGGACAAGATGTTGGAACCGCGCGGATCGCACTATCGGGCCCCCTGGAGTGAAGGCGCTACGCGTGGCACAGACAGAAGCTTCTTCTATCCAACAGCTTGTACGGAGCGTATCGGATGCAAATCGTTTGCAGATCGGTAGGGTTTCGTTAGACGATATCGAGAAGGTATTACGACCAAAGAAGTACCTCGATCTAAAGGACAAACTACCGAAACACTACTAGCAATGGCTTGCCGCTTTTAGCCAACAGTTAGCTGATCAGCTGCCTCCACACCGGCCAGGAATCGATCATAAAATCCCTCTGAAACGCGATCGAAACGGTATCGAAGAGCCACCGCCATATGGCCCTCTCTACGGCATAAACAAGGAAGAGCTTCTTTACCTACGAAAGACCTTAACAGACCTGCTTAGGAAGAACTTCATACGTGTAAGCCAATCGCCTGCGGCAGCACCGATCTTGCTAGTTAGGAAGCCAGGCGGCGGCGTACGATTCTGTGTTGACTATCGGGGGTTAAACGAACGAACAGTAAAGAATCGCTACCCCCTACCACTGATTCGAGAGACGCTACGGAATATAGGCCACGCTCGCTGGTTCACAAAGCTCGATATTATCGCAGCCTTCTATAAGATCCGTATCCACCCTAGAGAAGAATGGAAGACTGTATTTCGGACGCGATACGGGCTCTACGAGTGGAACGTAACCCCGTTCGGATTGACTGGCGCACCAGCAACGTTCCAGAGGTATATCAATCAGACTCTGCGGGAGTACTTAGATGACTTCGTGTCGGCCTACGTTGACGATATAATTATCTACACTAACGGGACGCTAGCGGATTATTGCCGAAAGGTCGGCGAAGTCCTGCAGAAACTAATAGACGCTGGCCTTTAATGTGACATTGCGAAATCGGAATTCGAACAGGACTCAGTGAAGTACCTCGGCTTTATCGTCGAGGCTAGAAAGGGGATTTACGTCAATCTAAAGAAGGTGGAAGCTATTAGGGCATAGGAGAGACCGAAGTCTATACGGGATATACGAAGCTTTATTGGGTTTGCGAACTTCTACCGGCCATTTATACCACGATTCGCCGACCTTTCGGCACCCTTAACACAGCTAATAAAGAAAGACGCTATATTCAAATAGGACGACGATTGCCAACAGGCCTTCACGGAACTAAAAGAGCTCTTTATAAACGCACCAATCCTAGCACATTTCGAAGAGGATCGTCAAACAGTCGTAGAAACTAATGCCTCCGGCTAGGCAACTAGTGCGGTTCTATCGCAATATAGACCCGACGGGCAGCTACGGCCATGCGCCTACCTATCTCAGAAGCTATCCCTAGCAGAATCAAACTACGAGATCCACGATAAGGAGCTTCTAGCGATTATACGTGCTCTGCGCGAATAGAGACCTAAGCTAAAAATGGTGCCTCGATTCACTATCGTAACGGACCATAAAAACCTTCGATACTTCGGAAAAGCACAACATCTCAACGAACGGCAGATGCGATAGGCAGACCTCTTAACAGAGTTCGACTTTGACCTCCGTTATCGCCCTGGCAAGCTTGCAGTAAGGCCGGATGCACTATCACGACGGAGTCAGGATATGCCTAAGAGTATCACTGACGAAAGGCTGTCGAATCGCTTCCGAATCCTACTTAAAAGGGTCAAGATCAAAACGGGTCGGCTAAAACTTCAATCAGCCGACAGCTAACCTAGTGAGGAGATCGATTTCGAAAGAGATATCCCCCTCTTTGATGAACCGGAACTTCAGACAGAATAGAAAAAGGCAAGGGCGTCTGACTCGATCTACCAACGAATCTCCAACGCTTTGCTAACGGGAGAGCGCCGAATCGCTGCCGAAACGAACATTAAGACCAGCCTATCGGAGTGCCATTTAGATGATCGAGGGGTGCTTCACTTCAGACAGCGACTCTGGATTCCAGACAACGAGGTTCTACGCACAGGAATTATACAGAAGATCCACGATTCACACGTTACGGCGCATCCTGGGCGAGACGCTACCTATTCGATACTTTCTCGACGGTTCTTCTGGCCAGGAGCGGCGAAAGACGTACGACGTTTCCTCCGGAACTGTACAGTGTGCGGACGGAGCTCAGTATGGCGAGACACGAAACATGGGTTACTGAAACCGCTACCAATCCCCCAGCGAATCTGGGCTGAAATATCCGTTGACTTTATCACCGGGCTACCACCCTCCGGACCCACGGGAGCAACGAACTGTATGGTGATAACAGATCGGTTGACAAAGAGCGTGATTCTGATCGGAATGAAGAATACAACAGCAGAGGATGTAGCAGAGGTGTTCCTCACACACTTCTATATGCATCATAGGGTGCCACTAGCGATTGTGAGCGACCGCGGCCCGCAATTTGTGAGTTCCTTCTGGGAAAGAGTATACGAAAGGCTATCGATTCAACGCCGATTATCCACTGCTTTCCATCCCCAGACCGACGGTGCAACAGAGCGTGCCAATCAGGAGATCGAACGAATTCTACGCGTGTTCACTACATACGCACAGGATAACTGGAAGGATCTACTACCAATAGTCGCCGTAGCAATCAATAATCGTGATGCCGCTTCAACAGGAATCTCGCCATTCTTCTTCACCCACGGTTACCATGTTGATCCGATTGGCATTGACGAAGCAGGGCAACTACAAGACGCCCTGACCCCACCACGAAAGGCAGGCGAAACGTTCGTGAATCGCCTACGAGAAGCTACCGATTGGTCCCAGGCCGCTATTGCTTCCGCGCAGGCCCTTCAAGAAGAGCAAGCGAACCGACGTCGACAGGCAGCGCCTATCTACAAAAAGGATAACTGGGTTTAGCTAAATCTGCGGAACGTACGCACACAGCGACCGTCAAAGAAGTTAGATTGGCTACATACTCGATACCGAGTAGTAGACGTCCCGTCGCCGTTCACAGTCCGACTTGATGTGCCTACTGGTATACACCCAGTGTTCCATATTGAGTTAGTTCGCCCAGCAGCAACGGACCCATTCCCATCTCAGTTAGTAGACGATTCACAACCACCACCACTACTAGTTAACGGAGAAGAGGAATACGACGTAGAGCAAATCCTAGCCGTACGAAGGAGGAAGATTGGGCGAGGATATCGTGACGAGGCGTTAGTGAAATGGAGAGGATGGGCAGAACAGACGTGGGAAAGGCTAGACTCAGTGCAGGATTGCAGCGCCTTGGATGCCTTTGAAGCGCAGCACGGCACCGTTTCGGATGTGATTCGCCAGCAAATCGGCACCGAAGCCCATATCGTCGTGCCCCTAACGAGATTGAGGCTGGGAGGGGGGTATTGTCACGGGCCAGTGCCCGATATAGGTCACGTGTATCACGAGACCTTGGCGTATTGACGTGGAGAACGCGCGGGATAAACTTCCCCTCCTTAAGCTTTTTGTAAACAGCATGTTGGCCTAGTTAGATTGAATCTAAGTCTTGCTTCAGCCCTTCACATTAACCTTATCTAGCTCGGAGCTAAGTTCTGATTCGAGCCGTTCCTGATTCGCCTCCTCCGCTAGCTCTGTTATACGTACCGACTTCCTTGTGCTATCAGTGTTATTGCTAGTCTTTCTTTCAGCAGCCTTCCTTGCCCTAGCCTCGCGTGCCTTCGCGGTGCAGGCCCTAGCCTTTTCCGCCCTTAACTAGGTACTAGTCGTCTACGAGCTAGACCCTTCTAGTTAGAAGTTAATTGTATCGGCTAGTAATAGGGCAAAGGTGCTTTCTGCAGAGAATTAAAACGCGCTTAGTTCGGTCGAAAATTGGAATATCGGTTAGTCGAGGACGATCGGTTACTCCTAGGAGCGGCCCTCTACCGGTAAGGTTTTATCTGCGCCCGTCTCCATCGGTTGCGGCCCGTCTTAGGTCTTTCGTAGTCTCCCTCGCCCTCTACTAGATAACGCTATTATTATCGTTTTAGCTCCCTTATTTAGTGTATACTGACTAGCTTATAGGCTATTTCCTGTTCGACTTATAGTTGTAGGGCTAGTGCCCTTACCCCCGTTACTAGGGCGTACAGCTAGCGTAAGACCGCTACTCTCGACGCCACTAGTAAGCTCTTCGCTCGATGATAAGTCCTTTCGTGTTCCTTACGAGCTAGCGGAGGAAGGATATAAGGATACTAGCAGCTAGTTAATACTATACGGTGCCGGGACGTAGTAGTATCTTCTACGGTGTCTCGATAGCTCCGTAATACGCTTAATCTCCCGCTAGCGGGCCTTACACTCCTTACTCTACGTAGCGTGTGTACCCTCGCAGTTAGTACACTTCGGTATACTTCCTTGTGCGTCCTTCGAAGGGCAATCCCGAAACTAATAGCCCTCCGCACAGTATACGCACTTAGCGGTGTTGGTATAGGTAGTTCCTATATATCCGTATTATTAACAGTTGAAGCACTGCTGCACATAAGCTAATCTATTATAGACTTCAGCCGCCAGGTTATCACAGTCCTAGAGGACCCCCTTATCAATCGCTATATTAGCCGGCACTAGAGAGGTGAATTCGACGACTAACGAGCCGCTTTTCCTAGCTAGGATCCGAAGCTAGCTAATCTTAGTGATACCTGTTCCCTCGCCCTAATTATACACATTGCTCGCTAATAGGTCCTTAACTACCTTAACTTAGACGCCTTAGAGATCGTCCGAGGCCTTGTTAATACCGAGGGAGCGTACATTAACGTTGTGTACGATATTTCCCTACGTTAGTATATAGACGAACGCTGTTTTGCAGAGGCCCATCGCCCACTTTTCTTAGTGAACCCTTATAACCTCGGCCTCTCTCGCATCGCGCATAGTGAAGCGGAGATCACCCGATTTCAGCTAACGCGACGTAAGGATTATCACTGACGCTAGGGCTAGCGTATCTGTTGTTTTGGCCGCCTTCGCTCGGGCCTAGTTAGCACGTTTCGTAAGCTCTGCGCTCGTTAGACAGCGGAAAGCGCTAACCTATAAGCGGTCACTAAGGCAGACTACCACTTCGCGGTCACGTGCCACCTCCGCCGGGCGCGTTAGTAAGCTGCTCGATAAGCTATAAGAGGATTGATAGTGCGCTGGCCCTAGTGCCCTAGCTGCTGCTTCGGCAAAAGACCTAATAGTCTGTCTTGCTAGGGGTTCTACCGCTGCTTTAACAGCCTGGATCTCTTGCTTCAGGTCTCTGCGCAGGGCTTCGAGCTCCTGCTGCCAGTCGGTCAGGGGCGTCGACAGGAGGTCCTTCGTCAGGTCTTCCACCTGGCGGAGGAAGTTGACGACCTTTGGGGCTGGTCTAGTTGCATTCTGACCCCTTCCAAGCTCTTTCAGAAGGTCGTGTGCAGCGTGGTTGGCGTTCAATACGCGCTCTCTGTTCGATAGCAGATTTTTCAATGGGCCTCCGGAAGCCCCTAGCGGGACCGGCCCCACGCCCTTTGACGCGCGCAACATCGCAATATCGGTCGAGGAAGCTCGAGACCGGTGTCAAAATGTAGCGCAGGGAGTTAGATTGAATTTGCCGTTTACGAGAAGTTGCCAACTGGCGTGGTTCCTGAGATATTTCAAAAGTTCAATTCGGCGCTGAAGTTGTTGTTTTTGATCATATCACTAACTTAAGTGATTTAGGCATTGAGCTTAATAGAGAGATAGATGAATATATTTTTTTATTTTCTAATAAAGTTTTCTTTTATAGTTATTCTATCGAACGACTCAATTTTTACGGTCGTATATTGACAGCGCCCACGGCACTGCTGGCACAGGAAGCGAAGAGAGAAGAGGGAGACTGAGCCAAATTGGTCTATCTAGACCAGGAAGACGAAGACCACTAGGAAAAGGAAGAAGAAGCAGAAGGGAACAGAACAGAGTCTATAAGGCTCTGAAGCACAAAGGAAAAGAACAACGTAAGATACTATACGCTATGTTATTAGATTTTTTTGATCAATTAGGTAATACTTCTTTATGTTGGGTTTTGGTGTGAAATGGACCCTGTTACCAGACCACGGGTGTACCAGGACGCAGCAGCTTCCTACATACTACCCGTCTAAATACTGATCCTGTTCTAGCCCGACTCCGGCTAGACCAACATGAGAAGCCTTAAAAGGGAGAGAATCTTCTTAAACATGCGAAGTTTGATAATCTTCCCATATGGAAAACATCATCCATGTCTCAAAAAATGAAATTTATACTGTCTGTGCTTTGCATTGTCGTCATGCTGTTCACCTTGCGCCCCATGGCACTGGGCTCTGTCATGAAACCCTTACATTGTCGAACGTCAGGGTTATATCAAAGGTTTTCCAACCTACCATTCAATACTGTGCTACGCTCCTTTTCCGATTGCCACGGGTCCGAACTATCTGGTCCCAGTTTTGGCCACTTCGTGAAGTAGATTGAGTATGTGTACACGCCTAGTAATAGTGATGACTACCCTGAACTACAACATCAACGCAATTTAAGCGCGGATGATATGCATCTTCTTAGACGGGCGGTACGAAATGCGGGCTTTCAGGGTGACAAGGAAGTGAAGATCATCAAATGCTTATGCAAACCAAATTAGATCATGATTTGGGCTACAATATTGCTGATAGTTGTAGGGTCTGGTAAGAGGTTTTCTTGGGCATTGCCATCGGGAGATTTTCTGTACAGAAATCTGACCTCTAGCATCTAGGAGATTTGGCATTACACCCACCCACATCACACAAGCTATTGCCGCCATTATCGTGTCCATGTCACCAAATCTTGAGAGGATGGCAATGACACAGCCTTTCCATCACTACATTGATTTTGAGGAAGAGGAAGAATGGGCCAAAGATATTCCGCTCGTTCAAGTTTTCCGATATGCCAATTCCCGCCCAGAGGGAACTCGCTTCCTTCAGAAACTGCGCCGTCTATTTGATCAATCGAGGAGATCGTTTTTTCATTGATGGGCGGTTCTATATGCAACCATATTTGATTGCTTGCCTCGAGCTCTTCAACAAACTCCCATCCATCGAGTCATTTGGTATCGATATGCTTGAGTCAGACGAGGACAACGGGAAGCAGACATGCGAGCACGCAATCAAACATCAGCAAAATCAGAATCAACAACTCCGCTCCGGGCTCGAGCTGTCTCTTATGCGTGATAGTATCATGCAAAACCATAACCGAACTACAATACACCACTGGAGGAAGGGCAAGTCTTGATAGGGGATTTTCCATGTTCAATCCAAAAGCCTTCCTCAAAGGGCTATCAGCACCCAAAAAAAACGACAAATTCTCGATATCGATACTGAAGAATTCACTTCGACATACCCTGGTGGAGCGACGTCTCAATACTCCTTTTCCATCGACTGGAATGAATATGGAGGCCCTGGTGAATTTGATTTTGACTTATACGAACCCGATAAACTCGATGAAGAGACCCCGAGCTCAGGATGCACCGATACTTCACATCGACTTGCAACTACGATGCGTCACTGAAAGAATTTGTGGCATTGAAACAACTGAGTATCGGAATTGGACTGTTGATTTACTTCGCCCAAGGCGTCGAGATCGATGATGCAAAAAGAGAAAGTGTCAGGTTAATCCACTGGCTGTCAGATAGCCTGGAATATTTGTCTATTCGAGGCTACGACAAGGGAGGAAATGAAGCACACGATAAGGAAGTGGCTGCGTCAATGGCCCGATTTGCCTCGGGTTCTATGAGGTTGACGGAGATCAAAGGGGTTAATGAGATTATTTGCGAATAGTTGCCATGTTGAAAACCCGGATGAAAATGTCCATTTATTATGGTCTTTGGAGGAGGTAGGATATTCTGACTACTAATAATATATATATAGTCGATGTTAACTTGAATACAAACAGTACCTCTCTGGGACACAGCAAAAAGCGCACTCTAGAGAGAGAACATTCGACCAGTTGGTGAGATAACGAAGAGTACGTTAAGACAAGCTATCTTCGAATCTAGGTACACTTGGGCTAATTGACTTGAGCATTAAGTTTTATCCCTCCAGGGCGCGTATGTTTCCCGGGCCTAGACACTGACCACGCCCCATCAAAAAAAATTTAGGCTTAACCTCAACCTTTAGAACAAGGGATTTCCACGTGACTACCCTAGAATATTATGTTGTATTTGAATAGATCAAGCTATAATATGAAAAGACCCAAAAGACGCGATCAAAAAATTTCAACATTCAACCAACTTAGGGGTAACTCGATTTCCCCTTCCCCCAACCCCGGGACGGGCCTAAGCTGTAGGACACCAGTCATAGTTGCCATCCGCATTATTGCCCCACCACGTCGGGAACGGATATGAAGTTCCACCAGCGCCGAAAACAGCAAAAGAGAGAATGAAGAGAACTGTCAGACTGGCCCCATCGAAAGCACCCGTCACCAAGTATGAATAATCCTTGAAGATGCGAGGACGGTAGTTGCGCAAGTAGTACTGAACATAGAATCCAGCGAGGATCCAACTGAAGATCACACAAGTCTGACTCTGGTTGTACGGGATATAGCCAGCATACTGAATGAACTGAGGCAAGTTGAGCTCAGAAAGATCGAAGCGCCCGATCTTAGGGATAAACTAAAATGCTTGTTAGCTTTCCAGAGTACATAGCAAATTACATGTGTTCTTACCTGGTAAAAGATCCGGTGAACTATGACAGCCGCCGCTCCAATGACGAGACCGAGAGGAACCACCCAGTACTGTGCGCCGTACTTGTAGAGATATGAAGATAGGGCCCATGAAGTTGCGTTGGTGTTGTATGCCTGCATCGTGGCACCGCTCCAAGAAGAGGTTCCATTGCTGTCAGCGAGGACTTCTCGGTTACCAGCCACAATAGAAATCATGACGACGTAGTTGATGAATCCACCGAGGATAGTGCCCCACATTTGTGTTAATAGCATAACACGGGGAGGAATCTTGACTATTTAGATACAAAGTCAGTAAATTGCCTAGATTCAAGAAAAGATCCAGAAGGGCGATCGTATACTAACGGTATTCGCCCATTTTCAGGTCGTTAGAGAGGTTCACTGTGTTACTAATAACATTGTGCGACCATGCAGCAAAGTACATGTTTCCTATCGGGCGGCCTGGAATAACGAAGCCTGCGATCATCTTCGATAGGTTGTTGGTCGCAATACCGTTGCCATACCGCGAGTAGAGAATAGTGCTCTGTTGTAAACATCATCCATCAGTTTCAAGTTCTACATCCTAAAGAGTTATTCATTGGGTGATAATGAACTCACAAATGGTGCGATAATGATCCCCACCATCAAGGCCACGACATAGGCCCAAGCCGGAAGAGTGATTTTCTCTTTCAGGACGACGATAAGACCGAGAATGAAACTGACGAAAAGGATCACAGCATACCACCACCACGGTGCCTCCTTGTAGTGCTTAGCCATATGCTCATGGTGCAGATCGTCATATCGACCTTCTTTAGCGCTTTTGTATGCCCTTCGGATGTCTTTCCCCCAAAAGAGAACGCAATGGGCGATGAGTGCACCGATCTAGGAAAGAAATTAATTCAATGTATCTCTAAGAGGATGTATCTCTAAGAGACAGGCATCATCACTTACAGCGGCATTAGCCATAAACATGGCGTAGGCAAATGTTCCAGCAAGTTTTGGCGTGCCGTATTTGGCAAGAAGATCTTTGTCAAGTATACCGCCAGGAAAAACTTTTGTGGTAGGGTATTTCTTACCCTCTGCTGTAAGCAGTTTCGTCGACATAAAAGGAAGTGATTTCGAATTCCAGCCGTTGCCGTAGTAGATAGCAATCATAATAATAAAGCAGGCACCGAATCCTACAGCCTGATGGGTCTGTAATTTCAGAGGGAGCGACGTTTGGAAGGAGGTGATCTAAATCTGTTAGCATTTCTATTCATTCGGAGCGCGCAGACATACGTATTGCCAGTCGAAGCTGAGAGAGAAAAGGCCCAATCCCTCGTTATTGGTCGCTCCGCCAAATAGGTTAGTGAGAACTTTACCAGTGTTACCGCTCGCTTTTTGCGCTGCTAAGCACTAGACGACAATATGTCAACGTTTGGATTTAGATCCACCGATCACATTTCAGGACGTCACATACCGGGATCGAGACCGAGTTTAGCCAAGGAAAGATGTAGGCTGGAATGATCTCATAAAGCGCCATACCCGTGAAGGCATACCAGAAGTATCGGAGTGGCTTCGATTTCTTCACCTCTTGCCAGTGAAGTGCCTGGAGACTTTTCACGGTGGGCAAGGTACTCCAGTAGACAGCTTCAGTGTGCCAAACAGCGATTGGCCGCATTAATCCCGCAAGACCGTAGCCAAACATACCAATAGAGATGGTGCTCAAGATGACTGTGGCTGGTCTCAACGGCAAACTGTAGAAGAGATCTTGAGCGGCGAATACTTTAACAGCGTCCGCAGCATTAGAGGCGGATGTGGCTGTAATAGAACAGATCGCATGCTCTTTTAGAGTCCAGGGTCCATGATTGATAAATTTCAGTGCAGTGATCCACCAGGGAAGCTTTCCCTGGCCACCTCGTGCTCTCCACCGTGTCTCGAACCGGTCACCACGCGGCAAGACCTTAGCCCATGCGTTACCAAGAAAGTAGGCGATCAGGACAATGAATGTGCCCTGAATGGTAATCGCAGTCGGCTTGAACTATATCAATCATATAGGCATTAGAATTGCCATTGAAAGCACGAGTATGACAAATGATTAGCTTCTTACCATATATATCTGGTACATCACTGCTTGGAAACACGACAAGCCAGAGGCCAAGAAGATGCTGCGGAAGGTCAAAGCCTTGTCAAAGTCATCGCGCATCGGCAGCAGATGAGCCGCTGCATCTGCACCGGTGACAATCACGATATTTGCGCTCTCACGATCAGCCTCGACTCCATAATTGTCGGTCGTGAGTTTTGTCTCGTGCTTCCCCGGGGTGACGGAAACAGTCCCCTTCTCATCGAGAACCTCTTGGGAGGAACCGGAGATACCATCTTTCTCCAAATGGGTTTCAGGGACGATAGGTGACATGGTGTCTGGGATTCGCCTTTCAAGCTTCAAGAAGTCTGCCCAGGCGCTGGCCCATACAAGGTGAAGGCTAAGGCAGACTTACACATATCGCCGTCCTATTTAAAAGGGATCCTCTGGAGTCCATGCGGCCAGATGACTTGTGATGCCATCCGATACCTGGATGAGCTAATTTCTGCAAAGACAGTGGCTGACGCCCGTTCTTTGATAACACGCCCGCACGAAGCTCGGTAGCAACCTTGAAAGATAAGAGGAGGTAAAGCTCAAGAGAATCGGCATCGTCTAATTATTTTCAGAGTTATCTAGAGTCTTGACTGGACTAAACACTCACGATCTGACATTTCGATCGCTCAATGAAGACCCTCACGAGAATTCCCTTTCATTTTCAAGTTGGTTCTCATAAGTGTTCGAAAATATCAAGGTAGGCATTAAATTTAGGTACTATCATAGGGAATTGCGACGCCACTGCTCGGCGCTTGGCAATGATGATTAACGTAATCTGTTTACACCGTTGTACACTGTAAAACAATCTAGAATATTTTAGTTCATGCAGCACGCAATAGAGTCCCATACACATCCCATCTTATGCGGCCGACCCGTCGGTGTTCCAAAGGTCTTCCCCAAAATTGGCGCTTGGTCCTGCGCTTGATGCACAAACTAGGGCCGAGATGTGGTATTGTAGCCGAGCATAAGGAAGGTTTATGGAGCCGCTAACCTTATACGGTAGTTGTCATTTCCCCGTTATCCGCCATTCCCAAGGTTTTCACACCAAGACCTATGCCACAACTTTTAGTTCTCTTATCACGCAAGCCGAACTAAGCTCACCAGTGGCGCCACGCTAGTGTTGTCGCAGTGTTACCTTCCTTTTACGGACGGAAACAGCGAATTCTAGGAACTTGGGGGGGGGTTTGCTACGGAAGACGAATACCTACTAATCAACGACTACTCCGTAGCTCGGCGTAATTTGAAAATGCTTCTGGGGTACCAAAAACAGGATTCACCAGGCCTCCTTAGTTTTCTATACAACTTTTTCAAGCATTTCGACAAGACAATTGCTAGGGAGGGACATACTGTACTTCGTTAAGGCATTAATATTCTGTTTCGAGTACTCCGTATAAGCCTAGGACCATGCCGACGGGAGAAGAATGCCTCCTGGGATACTTTCGCAATAACAGAAAGTGTTCCAAAGCAGTTGAAAATCTTGTGTGGCCTTATTTCTATCTAAATTGTATCCATTTATCGTACCCGTCAGGTGATTGAGAAGTACAAGGCCCCCGCAAGGCCCCGTCCACGCAAGAGCAATTTGTCCCGCAATGTGAATGAAGTAAGAGCTCCATTTTATACGCCAGAATTTTGCCCGGAATTAAAATCTCTGCTCGACTCCACACGATACGGGTTCCCAATTTTACAAATGATAGATTTCCGGACGCTCCTACCCAGACTCCTGCCCAGAGTTGTCCAAGAGCTGACGGATTATACTCCGACGGGACTGTCTCAAGCAGATCCGTTATTGTTCAGGGAATTGAACATCAATGGGAGAACTTCGCGCAATTAATGGCCTATGATGCCGAATCCTGCATTCGTGGACGTCTGCGCCAAGCAATTGAGATTAAGAATGTAGTCTGTGTCCTATTCTCTTCCGCGAACTTTTCTAAGAAATTCGGGGCAAGTCACGTGTGATGGCTTCGGCCCTCTGAAGTTTCATCCCTCTCAACTGGTTGCTGATTGAGCTTGATAAGACAGTTACATCCACTACTTTGCGCAAATGACTTGGTACAGGGTACTCTGTGAATGTGCCGGTGTATCTTTCCAACTAAGGTGAGTTTTGCGCCTCGGGATAGTTCTGGAAGTCCGATGGCAGACATGCTTTTTGATTACAATATATTATCATTACCTAACTAGCTGCTATACATAATGTAATTCACAGGCGAACTGGCCACAAAAGCGAGCCGGCCACCCCGAAACGCTATACTTAATGCTATATTTTAACCACTAAGTCTTCCTTCCCCCGATTAAAATTGCAGGTCCTCCGTTTTTCTAGGCAGAGTAATAGAATGTCTACGGAGTACAGATTAACCCTTTCAGAGTATTCATTTAACACTTTACCTTAAAATACCGCGTAATTATTACATTTTTGTGACATCAAGATATACACAGTGACTACGCAAATGTTTCAACAACACCCAAGGACCTACTTTCCTACCGCCTACGCTAGTATATACCGCTTTCCTAATACGCGCAGCAGGAAATAAACATCGCCACAACCCAAAATAACCTAAACCCGACCCAACCCAGGCCTATTGTGAGTTTGGGTTTGGGTCCGAACCTTTAACCCAAAGTTGGGTTTTGGCGATATCTACTCTAATTTGATTATAGAGTAAGTATATCTTCATAAATGTAGATATGTCTGTTGATACTTAAGGTTATCTTCCCACACTATACTAGTAGTTTGAAATGTTCTCTAGATCACATATGTTTAGCACATCATCTTGAATGAACGTGGCTGTAAAAATATGAAGGTAGAATTTATCGCACTTAGTATGGTCTTTTGGGGTGGCTAGGACGGCCTACCTAGTGTTCAGATCGGCCAGAAATTACGTTAGTGCATTTCAGAGTGACAGGACAATACCATTACTATATAGGGCATCCACTGTGTATGTACAAATCAAGCCCGCGTAACATTGCGCCACCTGGCTGAAACCCCTAAATATGTGGGGTTTAGCGCCTTAGTGCGTAAGCACGCACAGATCACGTAATCATCCACCCTCGGCTAGTTATCTCCCGAGCCTTCATTACTCAAACTTATCTGGGCTGAAAGTTGATAACCTACGAATAAATAAGCTGCTCCCCTAAAAACATATTTTGAAAGCTCCATGAGCTGGAAGATTAAGTTCACTTTCAATACAGGTTCCTCTAAAGAATGTCAGTCACGTATTACTGGCTCAATCACAAAAGTCGTCCCTAATCCCTAGGGTCACGTCTAGACCTGGGCAGAACCCATGGGCCGGCCCAAATGGGTCAACCCATTTAGGCCCATGGGCCGAAAAATCGATTTCCTGCCCATTCGTGGGCCGGCCCATTTGGCCCATTTGACCCATTTTAGGGCAAAAATCAGTGTGCATATGGCTTTCATAGCTTATGCAATTTACGCGAACTATTGGCTGTAATGCTACCGTAACAAGATTAAGTATACTTCAGTTGAAAGGGGGTGTTTTAATATTACTACAGAAATAAACTATATCTTATATCTATCTAACAACCTTGAACGCTTTCGAACTCTTCCTGAAACGCGCTGTGTGTTTTGCTCAGGCAAATCAGGCTCTCCTTTATGCGTAGGCTCCTCCTCAGGCTCGTCCGTAAGCTCTTCCACAGGCTCAATACTCCTTCGCCTCTTCGAATTATATTACGAAGGGCCCTCCTTATTGTTACTAATCTCTATAATATCCTCTTGCGTACGCTTATCTATCTCTTCTTGTTAGAGCTCTCTCTCAGACTCACTTGCGTACTCTCGAACGAAAGCAAGCTGCTCCTCTTCTAGATTAAACCGAATACTATATATAAGAAGTATTAGATCCTGGATAGTACTCGATTGTAGTGAGCCACGACGATAGTGGCAGATATCGCGCGCAGAGTTAAAGAGACGCTCTACGCCTGCGCCTGTGGCTAGGACAGAAAGGGTATCTCGAGCGAGAGCTGCGAGTACTAGAAATCTGTGCTTATGATCTCTCTAGTATTCGCGCGGCGGTACTAATACTGTGCCTGCTTAATGAATTAAGATTAGAAAGAGAATTTAGTTTAAGAATATATAATACGAGAACTACTTACTACTCTTGAGATACTAAGTAAGCTTAGAGACTAGTGCAGTAGGCCGACTATTACGAGCGAGTAGTAGATCAATCTTACTCGTAGGCTTCGCGCTTTGTATACCTCTAGCCCGGGAGAGAGAGCTATAAACACTATCTTCGTAATGTTTTACTCGGTCTTTGAGACTTTATTTGTATTAAGCAGCAAAGTCTTTTTTATTATCCTGCTAATCTAGGGTTTAAAAGAATTTAAGCTTATACTGCGGCGCTAAAATAGTCCTAGTTGAATATATATCACTAAGACCCTTAAGGTCAGTTATCGTGTAGTAGTCTCTAAGCTTACTTTCAGCTGATCTTAGAGCCTTAAGCATTTATTGTTTCTATCCGATCTTCTTCCGTTGTAACTAGCGAATACGGTTCTCTAGATAATCAAAAAGACGATTATATATACTGAAAACAGTATAAATCGTTATATCTTTAGTCTTTGAGAGGGCAGTAGTGAATTTGTAAAAAGGCTGAGTGATACAGATTAGGTAATTAATCTGCTGTTACTTATCCGATGTAACCCGAAGATAAGTATAATAAAATTCAGAGCAGAACGTATCAAAGATAGGTTGTAGCTTCTTAGCCCGGCGGAGTATAAAGAATATCGAATTCCAGCGTGTCTGTACGTCCTGAATTAGGAAGAAAGGTGTATTTAACTAGAGGTTTTGGAAGGATTCGCGGCGCTGAGGGCTTGTATTGATAAAGATAGCGAGGTTTCGGATCTTAGTAAGAGATTGTGTAATTAGTATTTATTCGATAGGTAGAAAGAATAGTAATAAGATTAAACCTTTTTTAATGTGTTTGCTATACTATACTCCCTTGCTGTTTAGCGAGCTATTTTCGTATACTCTTCAGACCAGACTGTGTCGATATTCTTATTCACTAGGTTAGCTTTTAGTTGACTAAGGAGCTGCTTTAGGCTTAACTAGATTATATAGGCGAGGTATAGTACTCGGATAAGCTAAGTATCAGAGCCTAGGCCCTGAGATTGGAGAGAGTCTTACAGAGATAAGATAAGAGTCGAATTATTAGACGTATTGTCGGTTGTAACGGCTAATACTCGCCCTTTAATCTTATACTTTTCGAGCAGATTTAGTACTACTGTGCTTAAATAAGCCCTAGTATAAACACTAGTAAGAGGCTTAAAGCCTAGCAAAACCTCCCGATATTCCTAATCAGCGTCAATAAAATAACCAGACACTGCTATAAAGGCCTGTTAGAAGAGGGAAGTCTAACAATCTAAGCTTATTAAGAGCTTTGCCTTTGGCGGGAGCTTCCGAAGTATCTCTTTCTGCTGATCTTGTGCTTTTGTTTGAATTCGACGTTGTAAGGTTCTTCGAGAGGGAAGGCTTATAGCGGTTAGCGCTTTCTGGGCTAGTTGTAGAAGCTTGAGAAATTCAGGATATTCGACAGTCGTAAAGGGAAGCTGTAGGGTAGTAATTGTAGAGATTAGTTAGTGTTCCTAACGAGTCTCACTAAATGGTTCTGGTGCGGTTTTTGCCTAATAAGCAGGAAAGTTAGCTTCTATTTAAGAACTATTGATCTAGGGACTCGCCTGCTTCTGTAGTAGGTGCCGGATGCTTAAGTGGCCCTTTGTTTTGTATATTACCTGTTCTAGGTGTCTTCGTAGGGCAGTCGTTCCTTGTTTCCCTGCTGTCCCTGCTTTGGTATAGACTATAGAGTTCGGATGATTCAAAATAGCTCCGTAGTGCTTGTATATCACCTTAGGTTGCCTAGTAACAAAATAGGTAACCTATTCGAAGTTAGCCTATATACCTGCCCGCTGGCCCTTTCGATCCTAGAAAGTAGATTGATGCTCAGAGTGCCCGCTCTGTGTCTGAATCCACTAATCGACGAATTGTTCTTTATTTATATCTTCGTATATAACGTAGGTTTGCGCTGGATCTGTAGAGCGCTTGAGAGATAGGGGAACAGAAAGAGGCGGAGGAAGGGGAGTTATTTGGCTTATAGAGTGCTCGGGCGCGATACTTTCGGAAAAAAGATAGGACGAATCATCAAGCTCGCCACTGTCCGAAAGGGGTACTGAGTAGATATCTGATAGTTAAGATATAATAAGAGTTAGTAAGAGAGCTTAATAATCCTAAATGAAAGAGAGATCATAGTTCACTATAAGAGAGGAGAGAGTAAACCCTATATTTCAGTTAAACTACAGTCTTCAGATAGCCTAAGTACTTACGATAATGCAGTATACTAGATATAGTCTATATAGACAGCCCGAGATAACGCGTCTGATATCTTTCGCGATAATTAGCTAATTAATCTCCTAGCCCTATATTTAACGATCTCTTATTAGTTAGTCTAATAGGCCGGCCTATAGGCCGGCCCACTAGCCTTCGAAATTCGAGTAAAGGCGTCCCCCCGGTTTTTATCGAATCTACAACTTTTTTCTCACTCTTCTGCGTGTACCTTAAAATGAATTTAACCTACTCCCTGCGCCAGGATTATGAAATAAAAGGCTTTTATAAATAAATTAGACTATTCTCCGCTATATAACACTGAAAACCCTACACAAAAAAAATGATATAAATAATATCCATCCAGATGTCAAAAAACTAACACTTAGAGCAGAAGGATACACTCAATCATCAACACAGAGTTATATATTTCTAAGTTAGACGGGAGTAAGTAAGTCGTAATCTATTCTGTAATTTGCCATAGCTAAGGGCGAAGAATTGAGACAGCTATAAATTACGCTAGTAACTTTAGATATTTTGCATATTAATTATGCATATCTGGGGGCTAAATGGGCCAAATGGGCCAAATCGTGGGCCGACTGACCCATTTATGGGCCGACCCAAATGGGTCGGCCCACGAGGTTTTTGTCCATGGGCCGGCCCATGCCCAGGCCTAGTCACGTCAAATCTTGAAGCCTGCCTATAAGCATCTACAATCCGAGGAGCTGACAGGAGTTCTTGGTTGTGTGCTCTTTTGGTGGATTATCCCTTTTCTCAAAGAGGGATACCACGGCTTTTTAACACAATATGATTTGCCGAAAATTGATCCAGCACTGTCAACAATACTAAGAAAACGGTCAATTCGGGCCTGGAATCAGAGATGTAGTAAATTTATGGTCTTTCAGGCTACCAAAACATGAGGCTGTAAAATTCACTAATGTTATTCTTAGCACGGCCAGAGACCAGCTTCACCTTGACTCGTGTAATACTCAGTTGTTTCTGGGGAGAGTTCTTATCGCCTATTCTACCCCGCCTTTTCTTGATGGTCTTCCGCTATGCACAGCCTATTCTTATCAGTGTCGCTATTCGGTTCGTGCGGGAAAGGAGTTCCCAGGATGAAGGCATTTATTCAGGATATTGGCTTGTTGTACTTACCGCTCTGATATATTGCGACCTTGCGGTAATTTCCCCCTGAATTCTTGCTAGACTACCATCTTTAACGGGGCCCTCGTATAGGCTTCCACGTTATCATACCGACATAACCTTAACCGGTTGCAAATGATGACACGAGGGGCTATAATTAGCCTAATCCACGATCAATCACTCAGAATTGGAACCTTATATAGTCACAACGGTGAAGCTTTAACACTTATGAGTGCGGATGTTGACAAAATTGAGGCCTTCAGAGATATGATTTATGAGACTTGGGCACAAACTTTGGAAGTATCAATTGGGACGATCCTCCTAGCAAGGCAAATCGGGTAGTTCGCCCCTTTGCCCTTGTTAATTGTTTTTGGTACTCCATAAAAAACTTCGATGAACTTGATGAAAGCTAAATCTCAGCAGGATGTTCCCGAATGAGCGCATACGTTGCAAAACATCTACAAAGAAGACAAGAAGATTGGAGTGCCGCAACTCAAGAGCGCCTTGCTATGATAACTTCTATACTTGGAGGGATCGAAAGTATGAAGATTCTAGGTATTGAGAAGGCTACAAGCTCCCTCGTCTCGAATCTAAGAGCTCGAGAAATCCTCATGTCAATAAGATTACGATGGATTATGGTGGCATACAATGCCAGCGGTAAGTTACTTGCTCATTGTTCCTTGCTGTTATGTACTCGGGTTTCATGATCGTAGATCGATATATGCGTGCGTTGAAGCTGACAGTTCGAAATTAGTAGCAAACGCGTTGGGAATATTCTTTCCTGATTTATATGGCATGACGCCGTTTTCCTTTGTATTTACTGTTTCATGTGAGTGGGCTGGCGTTCGGATCACTCTTGCTTCCGCCGGAGGAAGCGCCTGCGTAGCCATTACGCCAGTAGTTAGGCTGCAACAGGTTAAGAGAGTGTTGATTGATTGGTTGATTGATTGATTGATCGCGTTGGGAATATTTTCACCTGTTTTGACGTTGGTGCTGTTCGCAATTTCTCAAAATGGGCAGGGTGTATTCAACGCTGATGTTTTCTTCACCACCATTGCTCTTCTAACTCTTGTCACTCATCCAGCAAACATGGTCATGACTATTATACCTCGGGCAGTTGCCTCTCTGGCAAATTTCGAAAGAATAGAAGCCTATCTAACCCAACAATCGTTACAGGATCAACGTGTAACGAAAATGCCACCCGCCAAAGGAGGGAAATATAATCTCCATCCTGGCCAGCGGCTCGCGATAGTGCTAGAAAACGTCAAGATCCTACTACGCTCCAGGTCGCGTCCTGTTCTCCAAAATGTGAATTTTCACATAAACGAAGGGTCTGTTGGCAGTGGAAAGTCAACCCCGGCGATGGCAATTCTCGGTGAAAGAATCCCCTGCGAGGGAACAGTTGCCGTTGCGGACAGGAACATCGCGTTTTGCAGCTCTTCAGTGTGGCTCCCGAATGCCTCAGTCCGAGATGTTATTTGTGGTGGATCTACACCAGTAGATATGGAATGTTATCGGACTGTCATCAAAGCCTGCAGCCTGAACCTAGATTTAGAGTCCATGGTTCTCGGAGATATGACATTGGTTGGAAGCGGTGGCATCAATGTATCTGGGGGACAGAAATCTCGCATTGTAATGTTATCTACCCATACACTACTTGCAATAGTGCTGACAGAACTACCAAGGCCCTTGCTCGTGCTTTACTCTCGGTGCCATATCATGGTCTTGGATGATCCATTCAGCGCTGTTGACGGGGCGGTCGAGAGCAACATTATCGACGCCTTGCTCTGTCCAGAAGGACTTTTGCGCAAGCTACGTCCCACAGTTTTTCTTGTCGCAAATGGAGGTACGTGCCTTATGATTCTATATTTTCTAAATTAACCTTTGTGACAAAATTAGTTCAGTATTATTCCTTCGCAGATCAGGTGGTTTTGCTAATCGACACACGAGTACACATCCTGAGTCCTCAGGATGATCGCCTTCAGGCACATTGTCAAATGACCAAGTTATACGTTTCACAAAACACAGAAGATATTGAGAGATCCGGGCCAGGAGTTAAATCACAGTTAGACGAGACACGAATCACTGATGCTACTGCGGGCGTATCAAGGAGGATCGGCGACTTGGCAGTGTATGGTAAGTTGGATCGATATGTTCGAATGGAATTGACGAGTCTAATGTACAGTCAAGCCCACTACTTTGAATCGGTCGGAATGATTAACATCGTGCTTATGGCGAGCTGCACTGCAATTTATGCATTTTGTGTCACCCTTTCGCCGTATATCCTCAAGTGGTGGATTGAAGCCACCCCGGAAACCTCATGGTTATATATCTTGACTTATCTTTTCGTGTCGATAATTGCTTGGACGGCAACAAATGGGACTATGTGGTTCGCCTTCTTTTTTTCGATGAATTTAACTCGGGTGTGCACTAACCATTATTCCAAGGTCAACGCATATTGTCATCGCTTTACGATCTGGCTCTACCCTTCATGCTAAGCTTCTTAAAAAGGTCATGAAGTTCGTGAGAATGCGAGATTAATTATGGAATCTGGAATACTCATTCAAGCAGTACTCCGCTTTCGTACTTTTCAGCCTCCGAAGTTGGTATCATATTGAACAGGTCTGGCAAATCCCTTCCATGTCATAAGACCAATGCTAAATTTCGCTTACCTCAGATTTGCCCAGGATATTCAGCTTGTCGACAAGCAATTTCCTCCTGCGTTCGCAAATCTCAGCGTTCGTACGTCCCACATGACGCAAGCTAGCAAATTGCTCATTTTAACCATCGTGTATCAGAAATTTTCAAATTAATCATGCAGGGAGTTATTCTCTTTGTTTTTGAGCGAATTATGGCAATAACTTTGGAGTTTTGCACTGTTCTCGTCTACTTCATTCAACGAGTATATCTAAGAAGCTCTAGGCAGCTGCGTTTCATTGACCTAGATTCAAAGTCACAACTTTATGCAAGTTTCATAGATACAGTGAGAATCGTGAGCCAAACCCGATTTCAAGCAAAAGAGCTAATTTCAGTTCAGATCGATGGGATTGCTACGATTGGGCATTCGGATGGCAAGCTACATTCAAAATCAACAACATCGAAAAATTGGACATTTCGCAGAGTCCAGTGTATCTTCTCATGTGTTTACAAAGATGGCTCAATGTGGTGTTGGACCTTTCAATCGCAGTAATTGCTGTGCTTTTAATTGCATGGACAGTGATGTCTTGAGACACAGCTACATGGACTGATATAGGCATTGCGTTAAACATGATCATTGCTACGAACACGACGTTAGTTCGCTTGGTTGAAAGTAGGACTACCCTTCCGAAGATAGAAGGCCGGACTACTTGCAGCCGTCACTCTGTTGGCCAGAAAAGGGATCCATGAAAGTCAAACATATATCAGCAGGCTACAGGTCAGTATCATTATAAAGCAACATCATTAAAGAATGATATTGATGTGTTCTTTTTGTAGCCCAAAAGGCCCGGTGCTACGGGATGTGAACTTGGATGTCCAAGCTAGCCAAAGCATCATTATATGTGGTCGAACTGGAAGGTATCTGATCTTCTTGCGACAATTCCCCTGTCGATAAAGCCATCTAATGCTGCCAGATTAATTTGCAGTGGCAAAAGTACTCTCTTTCTTACGCTGCTGCGGTTACTCAATGCCAAAGCTGGCTCGATAGAGGTTGATGGCGTGGATATATGTCATTTGCCGGTACATGTTGTACGGCGAAGATGCTTTATTGCAGTACCTCAGGATCCATTCATACTGCCCGGGGCGAGCGTTCGGTTCAATATCGATCCATACGATGAACATGAAGATGAAATAATCCTGAAAGTTCTCGGAAAGACCAGGCTTTGGTCAGATCCATCTACATCCCAGCTCCAAAATACTTCCCCTGGCAATCCGGAGAATCTGCTACTTTACGGCACACCGCATTCTGGCTTTCTCAATCAACCCCTAAGTACCTTTTTGCCGGGCTCCACGGGCCAGATACTGATGTTTTCCTTCGCACAGGCACTGCTTCGAGCACAGCCACCAACTCGCAACCATGGACCCGCAATTCATGAACGAAAACCAATAGTAATTCTTGACGGAGCAGGCTCTTCCCTGGACCTGGAAATAGAGGCCAAAATTCAAGAGATGACGAAAGAGTACTTTACAGACCAAGGGCATACGGTTATTTCCATTGCACATAGAGTGAACAATGTGCAGGAAAACCCACGACCTGAAAGGGAGTCTATACTCTGGATGAGAGATGGCCAACTCGATGAGCCCCAGACCTACAGCAAAGGAATCATGCATACTGGCGGCGGTATTGGTGATATTTCTTCACTAATAAGTAGATTTAGCAAAACTATTTGACATATTTCAACTGGTTTCGTGGGTGAGAACGGTTTCGGGACTTACTTACAAGGTCGGCACAAAGACCAAATAGCATGGTAAAACTGCTGCAGTGTTTGGATATCTCTGATACATAGCATAGCTACGTACACCATGCTATTCCTTTCAATGCTGTCATTATTACAACAACATCCATCAATAATGTCCGACCCCTAATACACGTGAACCTAACACCTTATGATGCCCACGTTAAGTCCCGATATAATTCTACCACGATTATCGCAGTCAGGATCACTAATTGCTTCCAGAATTGCCCCGGAACAGTGGAGAGTATAATTCAAGCTAAGCCTCGATATGACTCTAGTATCATTATCTAGGAAGCGATGCAATCGACGCCTAAGAAATGTATAATATCCTAAGTGATTTTATGTAGTTGTATATAGCCGCTAGCCGTTATGTTAGATATCTCCTCTTTGGAGAAAATCTGATGCTTATCCTTACTATTATAGTAATATAGCCACGACTAGTGAAGTCGAGTATTACTAGTCACCTAAGCGTGAAATTCCTTTGGTGTTTCAGAATCAGTGAATTGCTTTAGTATCTAGTTATTAGAAATAAGGTCAAAATTGTAGCCTAATACTTTAGCTTCGGATACTGTAGTACTATAATGTATATTAGAGGTATTATAAGAGCTTATCCTCTTTCTGGGGCGGTATATACGACTAATATACTATCCAATGATCTAAAATACGGTGAGTGAAAGCAGAATATAGGTTATAATTACTAGAGCTAGAGGCTTCCACCACGTTTTAAACATTCCCGGTCTTCTTACTATAGACTCCTTCCCCTTTTTATGTTCACATTCCGAATCTTCTGACCCGAACTCCCCTTCTAATCTCTGGTACTATCGAATTAGGAACATAAGACCAAGAAATAGGGATAAGTAATACGGCGAGGTCGTTTTGTCCAGGCGTAGAGGTATTCCCGTTATTGGACCCTATGGGTGAGAGAGGATAGTAAGGTCTATCTATATAATCAGATAATCCTGTCCTATAGACGCGCTGACTACTATGATGTCTAAGGAAAGCATAGGATCCGGGCTAAGAGTGAATGGGATGGCTGAGTTCTACTATAACTGCACTATTCGGAAGCGGTGTAATGAAGGCGTAATTGCCGAAAAGGTTCCAACACAATTTTCCTGCCCTAAGTATGCGGTCGTACATCCAAAGGGAGGCTGTGAAAATGATAACGCTCAATGTCAAGCTAGAAAAATGGGACCGTGAATGCCGATCATAACGAGGATAAGTATAGAGTATATAATATGAATCAAGTAAAATACTAGATTAGTCAACAGCTGATATAGACTGAAGTATCCGCTCAGGTAGGCATTTATACTCACCTTCATACTGTCTGCGCATAATCCATGGACCTGTGGAGAGACCAATAATAACTATTGAAAGACTACCGATTGCACCAGCATAACTCTTTCTTTCGTGCATGTCGTCTAACAACCCGGTCATAGACCACTTGGTCAATCATAGAATGCCGGGAGAAAGACTGGTAATAATACAAGTGTAGCCAGCTGTCATTTATAGGGGAAGCAACTTGTTGTAGGATTGCGCTGCTAGTGGAGCGAGTTGGGCATTCTTGAGGGATAGGAATACTAGGAAAGATACCTTTGCGACTAATATCCTAGACGTTAATTGTTATAATTTGGTGAAAGAGACCAATTTATGCCTAGGAGGTATATGCTCACCAACCAAGTCGTTTTGCCAACTAAATTTCCATCAGTATACGATCTTAAAATGACGTAGTTAGGCAGCTCAACATATTCGGTAGTTAGCTTAACGTCCGTCACAAGTATTACCAAGTTGATGATCCAGTAGGTTATGTATAGAAGGAGTCTGTTGAGCAGAAGCCCAAAAATCTTACGCGACAGACAGCGTCGCAGAGAACTATAACTAGTAAGCTGTGGCGATTTGACATTTAGGCTATACTTGCCGTACTTCAAGATTCCTGCGAGATGTTTACTGAAGATGCTAGGCTTTTCTCTAGCATAGCGGATGTATATAATACTGAGCCAATGGCGAGCCATGAACAGCACAACGATTCCTCCTACGGCAATGGCAAAGTACCTATTGCTCCGTTCATTGTGCGTTTGAAAGAGCCCATCCGATTCGCTCATTTTAATACAAGAGAGCTTTTGATATAGATATCGGTGCAAGGAATAGCGATGAACAAGTAGTGTTGGCAGCCGGACGAATTCCTGGTGATTAGTTCCTTTTATGTTTAGATACCTACGTAACCTTTTCCTAAATATGTCCATGGCAATCACACTGGACTACCCGACGATGATATTGTTCTTGTCGGCTCTTGTCGCGCTCTTGTTTCGCCGAGGGAGGAATCCAATATTCAGTCGGCCTGACGAGTAGGAATCCGGGTAAACACCCGACAGTGCGAGTTATTCAGTTCTAGTAACATGCAGGGAATTTCCCATTATGCTGCCAAAAGTAAATCTGAAACTTCACCACATACAGCTAGGATAGACGGAGATACACCGGGCCTTCTCATCGCCAGGTCGTCTGGATCCTGGACTCCTCTCCCGGCCAAACAGGGTAGATAAGCCCTAACCTAGTTCAAGTAATCATTGTTCCCTGCAAAGCCCTGCGTCCTGTCGATCCTATCCACATTTACCCCAAATGTTGGCTATCCTCCACATCTTCGGCCAGATACCGGGCCGGTCTATTTGTCCGCCCCCTGTTCCGGACCATGTCGAGTTGTCATTCTTAGGCGTGGGCTTACTGAGTTTGCTGAAGGAGCCTTGTAGTTGACTTCAACAACTCTCTTCGATCTTCTCAATCTTGACTTTCCTAAGGTATTTTTTTTTGCTTCCTTGAATACCTTTTCACAGACCATAAAATGTTGTCCACCACAGCATCATTATCGCTGCCCTATCTGTCACCACCAATGGCAATAGCTACCTGGATAAACCGATGAGCCGCACGGGTTGAGCGCGACAGTAGGTTTTCTTTGAAATATAAACTCTTCCGCATTTCCAACGAGTTTAGGTCTCTAACATGAGCCGACCCCTAACCAGGCTGGAGCTGATACGTGTCCCGAGTGCACTATCCTAGAGCCGGTCGATTCGTGTCAGACTCTAGATTCCGCGCCGGTCAGCCGATCTGGCCCGCTTAGCTACAACACTCACGTTAGTTAGTGTTGATTATAACTAGCTAGGAGCGAATTGGGGGTTGGGGGGGTTCCACTCTCGCTACATATATGGTCGATGTGCAGTGGTGCAGTGACGCTAACAGTGACCACGGAGGCATGTTCTCGTACCGCATTTGCCAGGACCAGGATATCATAGATAAGTTCTTGGACTCGAGTTATCTTCCCACGGATGACAAATAAGCAGGCAGGCGAGGACCACTTCCCGGCCGGCCTGCTGCTCTGCAAAGATGTCGACGACCGGACTTCCGACCATAGTCCCGCCTGCACCGAAGGCCAGCCCTGCTACCGGAAGGACTGGTTCACGTGCAAGGCCTTAGATGGCTCAAAGTGCAAAGGTCTCGATAACGCCGCGCTCACGTCTGTTACACGTTTGCTCCGGACGGGTACAAGGTCAGCCCTAGATCAAGCTTCCCTCAAACTTTACCTCAAACCACACTCTGTTCTCTTTCAAGTGGGATTTATTCCAGACCCGGCAGATTTACTTGACTTGCGCCGACATTGCCATCATATCCTAGGTGATCAAGTCCTCAAGGTATGTGACGTCAGCCGCAGGAACGTGCGGTTTGTGGAAGTGGAGAACGTGTATATGATGTTTAATTGGTGATTGCATGTTGCTGAGACGTTCTTACTCTTAATGTGAAGCAGTAGCAGGAAACTTGGATGATATTGAAGCTATGAGGAATCTAAGTTTGGATGAGCCCTGGGGCTCCTAAAGGCTCCACCCTAATCTACAAAGATTTACTTCTCTGTGGAGCATTAGAGCGATAGTTTACCCAGCAACAAATGGTCACACGGGATATCTTGTTCCATTCGTATGTGTATGTAAACTCGCCAATTTCGCGATTTCGGTGTCGTAAACACCGAGTATGGGCTTAATCAACGCAATAAACAGCGAGTATATCAGAATGCTTTCAATCGTCGCCACTTTTCTATTTCATCAAACAATATTATAATTTTGACTTTTTTCTGCTTCCCTCACTCGTTTGAACGACATCTAGTTGATACACTTCTATTTTTTCCAAGTACTAACATCGCCTGTCTCAGTATACGAAACTAAGAGTCACAGCTGCCTATGTATCTATCAAAAATCAAACATGCTATATTCCGTGATAAGATCACTTATAGTCAGAGTTCATTAGCACTTTCACCATTATATCTTGGCATGCTATTATTATTTTGTCGCTAGAATTTCATTCAGTTCCTCTATGAAGTCCTCTGTTATCTCGTGTCGACCTCCGTATCCCAAAACCTATGCTATGCATTGAGGCAGCACCAGACGAAGAATAGAGCAGAAGGGGACAAGTGTAGTGTAATTCTGTGATTAACGAGTTAGCGAGTAGTGTATCTCCAATGAATCAATCAACATTTGCATCAAAATTGGTTCCGCTTGGTCTTATCCTGGTCCCGTTCGCCTACTAGGTTTACCAGCCTATACTGTTCTCAGCTTGCTCCGACACTTACTTTTGAGCTATTCGAATTGTTGGTTGTTCAGAAAGCTTTTCTCCTTTCCTAGACTTAACTGCCATCCAATCAGCCCGGCTCAACTAGGTATATGTATATCTGATGTTCTGCATTCTATGAAGAAACTACTGACTTAGTTACCTGCAAGGACCACATCACCAAAGTATCACCGACCGGCCCCTATGTACTTTTGTCAGCACCAATTTGTAACATGATATATTAGCGTCTGGTAAATTCGACGGAAGCGGAGACAGTGCATTCCTTCAATCAATTATTCTAGCACCGGCACTGCCTAATAAGATGCCATTGTCGTCATTTTGCTAGAATTAGAGACACAAAGTACGTCAGGACGGGGCCTTGGGCGGTTCAGTTGACCAAGCTGACCATCAGACATTTAGGAGGTTGTGAGACGGCCGACTGAAACCTGTGTAGCATGACCTTGGACTCGTCGAGCGGGATGCCGGGTTCAAGAAAGAAGTGCCTCCTTTTATGCATAGCCAGAGGTCTGTAGTCGCCAAAAATGGAACGAATGGTCTAGGTTTAAATATTGAAATGTGTTCGGCGGATTCCCGGAGGTTTTTCCAACTAGTCACGTATCCGTGCCCCTGTAGTCACGAAGATCCCTAGGGGCTAAAGACAGACTGGAATAATAAAACCAAAGCTCTTTTCAAGATGTTTTAATTAGCTATGGATTTGTCATCTACCAAATACATATGTAAATCCTGTGAACGGTAGCTCTTACCGAAAAAGATTTACCGGTGTCTACACTTCACTTGCAAACAGTGATACTCAGATCTGCGGATTTTACCACTTTATATATTCCACTAGTCTTTCGTTGCAGGGTAATATATAGTCAATCCATAACTGCTACCCTCCAAGCTTGTGATACAACGTGCGTCTCTAGTGCAAGGCCTTGCGTAGGACGCCATTCAAAAGAGACCTCCACATACACTTCCAGTAGCAAGGTTGCTGACACTGCTTATTTGGTTTCTAACGACTCCGCAATTAGCTCATACGGTCGGAAATGCTATCGTGAATACTGTGATCCAACAGCGAATCGTTCATTGAGTGGATCAGGACAGAGGAATCGTCACGGGCCATCTTCTCAGTATTCTATTATCTACAAGACCGATCCAAGACCAGGCACGATTGCTGTGGAGCCAGCCATAATCGGTTTGAAATCAAATACGAGCAAGAAGCAAAGACGGCGTGTCTTCTGTAACATGTTAACGGGTCATGCAGACTGTTCGCGGTCCAAGGCTGCCGCCTCGGAAGGACATTAACCCGAGGTAGACTTCGGCAGGACTCATCAAAACCCGAACCCAACCCGAACCCAACCCAACCCATGGGTACCCATTTTAGTGTAAACAGGGCAAATATGCCAAGTCTTGAAATACGCTACGTTCAAGGCCAGAAAATAGGCCTTTATTATAGGTAATTTTAATATTTATCTAGTATTCTATCATGTTCGATACCCAGATGTCATGAATGATATGTAAGATACCAAAAAAGAGAGACGTTGAGAAAGTGAATATATTACACTATTTTGAGGTAAGCAGTGGTGGTGTGCCTGTACATGTCGGATATATATTTTCATAAAATATCTTTTGTAATTACTTTCATAATCTCTACCAGGTAAAATCATCTCTAATTTTTGGTACATATTAATTCAACCTACTATAACATATTCATGAAATAATAGGCGATTTTACCCAGTGGAAAACGGGTTATTGGAATATGTAATCGAATACACTACATAAAATTTATGTAAAAGTTATGAAAATATGGGTTGAAATGGGTTAGGATGGGTCCCCATATATAACCGATAATGGGTTATGGGTTGGGTTGGGTTCTAGGGGTCCGACCCATAACCCACATGGGTTGGGTCTTGGGCCCAGACCTTGAACTCATGATGGGGTTTGCCGAAGTCTACCCGAGAGTAGAGTGGGAATAGCTTCTTGGAAAGAAAGGATTGGATACTAGGAGCTTTACTATATAGAATCCGCAAATTAAGTCATTGAACAGTCTAAAATGCAAACTCATTCTTCGCACGATTGCAGGTAGATGAGCAGGCCCCTTGTCCATGCTGCTGATTTTCCACTCGCACATCTCGTGGGACATTCCGACACGGGACGAGAAATCTCCAACCGTGTTGTTCAGGCCACGATCTTGCCTGGTCGGACAGCGTTGCGTTAAGAGTGGGCAGGAAATTGTTAATGGTTATTGTGCAGTCCAGGCCAAGCAATGTCCTGCAGCGTTCTAAAAGTAGTGGAAGAAGGTGTGATGGCGAGCCTCGAAATTGTGACAGCGTGTGGTGGATGCCCCAAAGAAGCTCTCGGGGGTCAATGACTGACTCGACAAGCCGTTGAAGAGCTTTTGGTCTCAGAGACCGTGTGACTTCGACGACGGAGGTACCGAGGTCCAAGAGTTTTTGCTCCTATCGCACTCCTAATCAGTCCAAGTGTTCCTTGGGATTTATATATTGAAACTTACAATTCCAATTCCTTGGGCATCCACTGCGCCTTGTGATGCCGAACTTATTACGCCCATGATAACTTTACCCACTAGCACTGGCAGGTGAAAAGGTAGTATCCTATCATCACAAGCACCAGGGCGCGTTGCATAGATAACAGATAATTTCCACATCATCTCTTGCAACCACTGCTGTGTGATGAGGATTTCAACCTGTTGAATTTCTAAGACCCCATGAAGTGAGATCTTCTTGCAAAGACTTAACTGAATGTCAGATATTGGTAGTCTTTCAAAGGGTCCATCTCCTCCGCCAGCAGAAATCCAGTCGTAGATGTTCGCAGTAAGTTTCTCGAAGTTATGGATCTGACTGGTGAAGCCGTACGTCAAATTTGGATCTTCAGAGCAGAGAACCTGTTGTTTGCTGATAGAGCTGCTGAGAAAGACCGGCTTGAAATGCTGCAAAGCGTAGTCTCTGTTTCTCAGTCAGCGGAAAACATCCTTAATCTGGGGTTTGGCATTCTTGCCGTTCCGTAATAAACAGCAGCCAGAACACTCGCCGCCTCTCCTCGGCTTCCTCCTCATTTAACTCTGCATAAGTGGATTCTCGATGCAGGCCCAGTGTGAATGCCATCGATGTAGCTTGGCGCAGATAATACCATGCGTGCCTTTGCTTGTTAAGGTTTCTGTAAGATACAAAAAGGAAGAATGAAGTTAAAAGCGCCTCAGTGCTAATATCCTCCGCGATATCGCATTTTTGCCGTGCCCGCACAGCTTCGGACAACAGCTTCTCTGCGGAGATCTGTAAGTGGCTATTACCCAAGTTCTGCCGCCGAGCTGCATCTGGGACTAGAGCGTCTCTATCTAGCTTCAGCTGAAAATGTGCGGCCACACATAGTGAAGCTAAGAAGGTGTATCGCTGTGGGGACAGTAGTTCCGGCTGTTGACTATCCAAGTACAACTGCTCTCGGCGCATCACCGGCATAATAGGGAATAAGTATTTCAAATAAACATTGACGTGTGCCAACAGGATCTGCGGGGAGAGACGGCACACGTGTGAACGTGACTGGCCCCGGCCATTTGCTGCTTCTACTGAAGAACTGGTTGATGCCGACCGAAGTCGAGAGAGGGTGCTCGAAATGTCGTGCGGCGAATGTTGCGTATCGGTGATCAGGAAAATCGACGGCGTTTCTGAGCTCCTTTCAAAAGCCGGGGGATTGGGAAAGCTCTCCTTGTCGGCGTAGAACTGTGCTTGAGGCGGATCATTTTGGGCTGAGGGCGGGGCTACGGGGTCCAGGGGATAAAGCGTTCGAAACTTCAGTCTGTTACGACACAGGATATCCCTATAGGAGCAAGACAGAAGCAAGCGCTGGCACTTGTCGCAAGGCATCCCCCGCGAACATTTAACCTTGCGCCGTCGACAGTTGTCGCATGCTCGTTTGAGGGAGGATCTGGACGGCGAGGTGAGGTCCATGTTGGGCGAAGGCCAGTGGAGGTAGGTCACAAGTGATAGTCGGAGGTAGGTGAAGTGATAGTCGAACAACAGCACTCCGTAGGTAGGACGTAAGTAGGTAGATAGAGAAATACTCGAAAAGGGATGGGTGATTTCAAAACCAAATCAAGTAGAATACACTACAAAGAAAGAACATCTGGGGAAGTGGGGAGCAATATAGATTCAAAAACGCATAGGCCCCTGCACTATTTGAGGCCTTAAGACTTGCGGCTAGACTTCCGCACGACCCGGACTCAACCCGGGCTGGGTTGGGTTTTGGGTCGAAGACTCCGACCCAGCCTGGGTCCGGGGCCCCAACTTGGGTCACAAACAATGCAAACATAAACTATGCAAAAATACATATGTTCTAGGGTCGTTTTCACTAAATTATAAATAGCTACTCTCTCTATATATTTCTTAATATAATAGGCTATAACCTATAAAGAAAGCTGATATAAGCTGTATTGTACAATACTAGTGCATAATTTATAATCATTTTATACTGGTTTTTCTGTAAAAATTGGGTCGAATTGGGTCATGTTGGGTTTTATTGGGGCCCCAGCATTGGGCCCGGGTTGGGTCCGGGTTAGAGAAGTTCAACCCGGACCCAGGCTGGGTTGGGTTTTGGGTCGAGATCTTCGACCCATGTTGGGTTATGCGGAAGTCTACCTGCGGCTTTCCATAGCCGCCTCCTGCTGTATTGACCGGCGACCCAGATTTAGTGTTAGCCTGCGCCTGTTTCAGGTCCGCGCCTGATGTCCACAAATGCCTGTTCGTACACTCATACTTAATATTGAATTCTCGCTGCGAGGTATGAAAAAGATTCACCTTTCCCTGGGGATGGGATTGAGTCTACTCCAGCATCTTTTAGCACGAGTGCCCCGAGACCGATCGTACTTGGACCCCTAAGCTCATACTCCAGTCCAACACGACTAAACCACCAATGCGAGATCACTCGGTCCACACATCTTACGACCTTGCACTCTTTAAGAAAGGCCCAGCAGATCCCCTGTCTATGACCGTCTTGGCAAACTGGGGCGGCTTAGGAACCCGGCCTAGCCTGCCAGCCTGCCAGGTGCTTTCGGCTGCACATTGAACCTGAAATCCGGTGCCCCAACCACCGGTGAGACCATTTACAGGCAGACTTGGGAGAGTTTGGGTTCCAAGGGTCGGCTCCTTAAGTTGTTTGGTGTTGCTGGTGCCAGGGGGATGCCAGACTAGCCGTAGCAGGCAGGATCAGGAGATCTTGATACCCGTTAGGATTAGTCGTTGGTAGAAGCCAACACGAATTGCTAGGAACAGCCTCTTAGCAATGTAGACCTATTGTTATTACATTGGTTGATGCTTTTGACCGACTAAAGCGAGCCGGCCACCTCAGAACACCATACTCAATGCCATATTTTGATTCCTCTTTATTTCAACCACCAATCCTTTGCTTCCGTAAGAATTGCAGGTCCTGCATATTTCTAGGCATAACAATGGTATATTTAAAATTTTACGCCATTCAGATCGTTATTTCAGCACTTTACCATAAAATACCACGTAAATTTTACACTTGAGACATAATTATATATATCTCTGTTCAGACCTAAAACATTCCTCTGCTACTTCAATAGAAGATTGAAAATGCTGTATAGATTATATTTGCCAAATTTTTAACCTAAATAGATATGGTTGTTCAGATATGAAGTTGTAATTTATCGCATTTAGTATGGTGTTCTGGGGTGGCCGGCTCGCTTGTGTGGCCGGTTCGCATATGAACTACGTTATGCACAGAGTGTGTTCCTAGTTTTCTATCTGAACTAAACTGCTATTATTTTCAGATAATCACACTCGCTAGGTCTTCGATCATGCACTTAATTGGCTCTTTTTCAGGGCACGGATAGCACTGAGGTGTACGGATACGGACCTTGGACCCAGAGGATGCCCGGCAACAGCCGAGTCAGTAATCGGCCCCTTACAGAAAAATACCATTTTTTCTTTTTACGGACCCTCGCGGAGCGTGGCTCTGAAAAATATGTAATATTTGTAAGGGGCCGGTTACACAGTAAAGGTCACAAATGCGGCCATTGGGGGTTACTCCGCGGATCAACCGAAACCTTGGAACTGGGTTCGAAAAAAGTTTATTGGTAATCAGTCCCGCAGCAGAGTGGGGCTGCAAAACGTGCCGAAACATTTGTCAAAATCCATGCATGTCCCGAGTCTTGCCCAGAAAGATCTCAGGTCAATTGACCAGCACTTAGACCCAGATAATGTATGTGACGCTGGGAAACACTGCGTAGATAGAGTAGACTAGTTAGTTTTGAGCAATCTGACCAGCGGAGACGGAGGAATATGAAATGAAGGCAGGCGCCTCAGATCCAGCACTTCTCACTTCTCTCTCCACTCCATTCTCAGTACTCGCTATGAAATGCGCTCTTTTCTGGAAGAATAGAGTCTTGTTAGAATATACGACAGACCACCTATGGATAGGTATTGTAATCTTGTACGAACTATTTATCTTCCCGCAAAATCCGTAGCGATGGAAATTCGATTTGTTTAGACGAAAGTACTCCGTAATGGGGATCAAATCAATACAAGTACCACCAGTTCAGCTACAATGCCTTCTAATGGTTGTTATCATTCGCAGCGTAGTGATTGAATTGAAGAGTACGCCTTGGCCGTAAGGATGCTTATTCTGATTTTACACTCGTCACTTTGCAAGGATAGTCCAGAAAAAATAGCTAGCAGTGACTGACCGAAGGAAGGCTATAAGCACAACGCGTTCCGCGGCGTGGGTTTGCTGGCAAACCATGGTTACTTTACACAGTAGCTTCTGTGGCTTTGCGGGGAATCGGATCAATTTTAGCGCCGATCCCGAGGCCTGATTCGAGCTCCGAATCCTTTCGTCACCATTACCCCTTGTTCTACCTCAACGTTATGGCTAGCCCTGGGATATTACACAACTCGGATGTGCGTTCAAAAAACCAAGGTGTTAACACAAACATGTCTGTACGATGGCCGTCGACCAAACAACATCTTAGCTCAAACTCGAGAGTGTGTGATCGCTGTATTCAGTCAGTGTGAATAGCCCGTGCAGCTCACCCTATCCGCTGACTTTTCAATAGGAAGAAAGTGAAATGTGCGTCTTGGCGTATCTGGGAAGGCCTCGGCTATAATTAATTCTGCAGTTTAGGTGACTTGAAACGCCCAAAATGTTCTAGGTGCCTCGAGGCCGGCACTTCCTGTATATATTCCTCCCAAAGACGAAGACCTGGCCCAGCAAAAGGGACACGTCAAACTGGGAATCGAGCTGCCGATGAACCTTTAACAGGTAAGACGTGCTGTGAATTTCATTCAGTTATCGTTCGGACTAACGCGTTTTTAGAGGACGTTTTGCGCCAATCTATTCGCTTTGGACAAGACGGGATCGCCTCTCTCTCACCGCCTGTCTCTGTAGTTGGACTGGCTCTCCATCCAAGTCATGTTTGTACTGGTGACTCGTCTGATGTTTCGATACCGTCGCTCGCATCTCACGATCCTGGTCCTGGTCTGGATCCGTCAGGCCAATACACGGCTCAACTCACTTCCCAAGATCCTGTCCTTTCAACGGAGCAGGAAATGGAATTGTAAGTCTGGTAACTTGCTAAGCATGCAATCAGGTGATGACTGTCTGTCTTGTCTATGAAAATAGACTTCATAGCTTCTTCAACCGTGTTCAACCTTCCGTTCGCTTGTTCAAGGAAGATGAATTCCTCCACCAGTACAGTGCCGGAGTGATCAGCAGATCTTTGCTTCTCACAATATTCCTTTTAAGAGCCAAAGTTCTAGCCGACCACTCCTACTGGAGCGCCGCTCAAGTTGACAATCGTTTGGGTCAGTTGCTGGACGCTGATTGTATTGAGTATCAGAAGTTCCGCGATCCGTTTGCTCTGGATAATTTCCGGCAGTCGATTCTACTATCTTTTTATGCGTTCCACGAATATCCTGGCCAAAAAGGATGGACGAGGATTGGCTATTTAACGCGCAAGGCTCTTCAGTATGGACTCCACCAAATTGATAACCACGATCGGCATGCACCATTTGATAGCAGTCTAATTGGAGTGGACGACCTTGATGATTGGAGGCGCGCTTGGTGGTGTATTTACTGCCTCGATTCCTACTCCAACATCACAGCTGCTACGCCTTTCGTGGTGGAGGCTGAGAGCATTAAAACGGCTTTGATTACAATATCTTCAACATCACCTACGTCGGATCCCCACCAAGTTCTATGTTATTTGCCTGTCGATATTGGGTCTATCTGGGGAACGGTTAAAGATGTCGGCCATGGTGAGGAAATGATTTCGAACATGCATATCGTCACTACGACTTTGCTTAAGGAAGCCGCCACGATACGCCGCCTGCTATTCCAGAATTCTTCCGAGCGCCTCTATGCGAGGGCGTCGTTACTAGAGCATAATATCTGCGCAGTCCGGCTTGCCTTACCCGCTCGCTTCCTTGACGAAGGCAGAAACGTGTTAGAGCACGAATCAAGACTCGCGCACCAGTCGCGGCTCATATGTCTGATTCAACTTCATGCAGCTCGCCTTATCTTGTGCGTCTCCGGTTGTTCTGAGCAGGATGAGGAGGAATGGTCACGTCGCTGGCGGCAGTCTCTACAATACTGCGAAGATGTTGTATCAAGCGTTGTCCAATGGGATGCATCGCTCTGCACGTCCGTTGATCCTGCTATTTGCTTTATCATATACGCCGTTTTGGTCGTTTTGCATTTACATGCGATTGACGAATCGGTTGACATCGGTTTGCTACCGAAACTCGAGGCTTATAAGAGTATTCTTATACTTTTCGTACGACAATTTGCCTCGGTCTGGAAACTCCCTAAACTTTTGATCTGTAGGTGACCTGTCACTGACCCGTTCAACTTTATCTCACTTCGAATCCCAGTGTCATTTGAGAGCCTGTCCCATATGTTACCCGGCCCCGTGTCCTCCGGCACAGTTCGCCCAATCATCAATCAGTTACACGGAACGCAACATCAGGCTTGGCTAGGTTTTCTTCCTCTTCCCCTCGAGTTCAGAGAAATCAAGAACGTAAATGAATCTGAAGATCTGTTGGCAGAGGCTCCGGGGTTCTATAACTGGGTTTAAAAGACGCTTTACATCAATTTGATGATACCAGCATGGCGATACACAGCGAGGATTCTGAATCGGCGCCAGTCAATAACCCTCAAGCTGTCTAATAATTTTATCTAGGATGAACAATTAAGATTCAACCACAGTTCTCAGACAATGCAGGGACTATTTTCGTCGTGGCTGCATTCGTTATGTGTTCTTGCCTTGTATCAAAAATAGCAATATCAACACTCATGGGACGCGTACAAAATTGAGAATGGGGATGACGGGATGTTGTGGTCCAGGTAGCGCTGGTAAAGGATAACTGAAATATGGGTGGAAAATGAGCCCAAGTATAATCCGTCGGAAGTATATGTTGTGCCGCGGAGGGTATTGCTCCGCGCGCTGGAGAAACTCAGCGGCACGATCAAAGACCATCAACGTACAGAGCGAAATATAGAAACGTTGTCATGCCTGCGAACGGCGGCACACTAGCAATAAACCCTCATCGTCTCTTTTCTTAGTGTCAAATCCAGTCTCCTAGTAATCAACAAAACATACGACGTCAGCAATACGGCGAAGCAATGTCATTCTTCATCCTGGATTTAATTGCCTGTCTACCCAAGTCCTGGCAGGACTGGATACTCCCACCTGCCTCAATCCCGACCGTGGCCAACGACCCATCCAAAGTGCAGCTCTCTCGCATCGCTCATATCTACGTCGAACATAAGGATCTCGCGAAATTCGATGAATTCGCACAGGATTTCGGCTTTGTGAAGGCCGAACGCAAGGGAAACACTATCTACTACTGCGGGTACGGCAAGGACCCATATGTCTATGTCGCCTCACAGAGCGCAACGGGCCAATCCAGGTTTATAGGCGGCGCCTGGGTAGCCAAGGATGAGGCAAATTTCCAAAAGGCAGCGGCTATGCCTGGCGCTATCCTCAAGGAACTTGATGAATCCCCTGGAGGTGGTAAGATGATCACCTTCTCGCGCCCGAATGGGACGTTCTTTCATGTTGTGTTCGGGCAGGCGGAGCGCAGCGTGAACATTAATTCAGAACAGCCGCCCTCGGCTACGCATATCTCTCAAGGGCCGTACAATACCCCTTTTGAAAAGAATCGACTTGGACAGTTCCAACGGTACCAGGATGGTCCCGCGCTGGTGCACAAACTTGGACATTATGGTTACGTGTGTCGCGAATTCGACACTGAACTTGACTTCTACACTTCCAACTTCAACTTTGTACATTCCGATATCCTCAACCTTCCGCGATTCCCGCACGTTGACGTACTAACCTTCATGCACCTGGATCTTGGACCCGAATTTTCAGACCATCACAGTCTGTTCCTCCAGCGGGCACCTCCGAACGTCCGCAAGACATACCTTCACCATAGCTCGTTCGAGGTTGCCGATTTTGACGAGCAGCTAATGGGTCATCAGTATCTTGCAAAGAAAGGGTGGAAAGCCGTCTGGGGCGTAGGGCGTCATATCCTGGGTAGCCAGATTTTTGATTACTGGTACGATAGCAGTGGTTTTAAAATTGAGCATTATGCGGATGGGGACGTCGTGAATGAAGAAAACCCGACAAGGAGAGAATACGTTGGGCCAATGTCGGTGTGGGGCCCTGAAGTACCAAAGGACTTTGGCGCAAATAAAGCAAAGTAATGCAGGACCCCGACGGCTGGTATTCGGCGCAATGGTGCAAGCCCGTCGCGACTGGCTTATAGTATTTATTATGTTGACCATAATATGTGAGCCGTCCATACTCTGTTTATAAATGCCTTACTTACTTGCCTTGTCGAACTTGTTGTGTCCTTCCGCCTCAGAACGAGAAGGTGATTTTTGAAGTGATTTGATAACCTTAGTTGCCATTGATTCCTTATTACGTTGAGTAAGTGTTATAGTCGTGAATTTGCGCACACGACAGTTACAACTTCCAACACAATTAAGTCGAAGATAATTTTCGAAGGTTGGAGCCTTTACGAAGTATCCATGATTTGGTGAGACTAGCAATCTAAAGATTTTCAGTTCCCCACGGAGGAACAAAATTCTTGGCAAGGGTGAATGATAAAGTATTTATCTGCATCAGTCTTTGACCTCGATGAAATGCCTACTGGCGTTGTATTGACTGATCAGATAAAACTGGTGTTACGCTCAGTTACGAGAGGAAGAAGAGCAACCAACGTAATAGCATTTGACGAAACAACTAAGCGTGGGAAAGGAAATAAAGAGAGAGTGCGAGGGAGTGAGAGACGTACTAAATACATGAGGGATATCTGCGCCAGCAGGCATCGATATCAGGCGTCAAACATCACCACATGTGAATCGTCACATGTGGCTGGCTGAGATCTGCAGCTCCTCAATATCCCTCTTTGGTTTACATGCAATTCTCGGTATATCTAGTCCCCTCGTGCTAGTCCCCCGAGTCATGGTATCCTCCTGGGTATTTCAGTCCCTAAGTAGTTCACTAGTTTAGTCCATCCGAGTCAACACTCTTTTCATCTCATCCCTACATTGCCCCTTTTGATTTCTTTGTTCTCATTGGCTAATGAATCCTTGGTAATCCTAAACTGAATAGGCCATTGCTTTTAATGTTTATTCTTCCGATCGTCGCTTAACCTCGACAACTAGCGGGCCCTTCAAATCTCAGCGGGCCCTTCAAATCTCGGCTGCCCTTGCGTTTTCTTCGATACTTGCCTTATCCATTCCCAATTCAACGCACCATGACTACAAAGATGTCGTCCGGTACAAAAGAAGGTGTCAAATCGTTCCATGGAATGAAGTTAGTCCTTTAATCTGATCAACAAGATCCTTGTAAAGAACCCACTCGCACAGGGTACTCGGTAGTCCCGTTGACAGTCGATTCCAGGCTATCATCTTGCCTCAATGCCCCGCTCGACATGAAAAAATGGCTCGTGGCAATTGTAAATGACGCTGGGCCTCAATGATTTGATCCCATTTCTGCTCAGTATAGGCCACTTCGGAGCCACCTATCAAATGATACATCTTAGCGGATAACTAAGTGTAGGTGTTAGTGTAATAACAAACATTGTCACACAATACATATATAGAATAAGGAAGGGCTTATGCGGATATCAAACAGTTGATCGAGGCTCTATGACGATTCACATGTGACGATGTTTGATGCCTGGTGTATAACTACGGACCTGCCAATCAAGCGCCTGAGAGAGAATAATGCAGTTCCAAAATTACCTACACATATGAGCGGCACACGGTGATGCTTTGAACTGGTACCTTTTAATAAGTCCAAAGCTCTCCAAGAATTGTGCTCTAGGACGAACAACCAAGTGTTCTCCTATCTCCAACTGTAAGCCCTGCTTGTTGACGTCTTAAGATACAGGACTGACCGCTAACAACCAAGGATATGCGGACATGCAAAGCTGGATACATCGCAGCAACATTTTCGCTGCCCTATCAGGAATGCACCCCCCGATAATAAATTCATGAGTGTGGAAATCCGACTCTTGTACACAAAACTTGTTGGCTTTCCCTGTGTCATCATGATAAATGCCTACGCAGGCCAATCTGCAGCCTCTGAATAAGAAATTTATGGGGTTGTTTCTTTGATTTCCCGTAGGTCGAAATTCTCACGCGGTCACCGCTGAGGCTGCCTTGGAAATGAAATAATCTCTCCCTTTGATCAACCGCACCATAACGCTCCAGGGGGTGAGTCCGAAAACCTGCCCTGTTCCACCCGTAGAGCCGACCGGAACCATCATCAGAATACATTGTCCCTGGTCATAAGAGCGTCGTGTCGTCCGTCCGGAAATATCAGCAATGATGTTCGCTGCGACAACTGCTGCTTGTTCTTGTGCCTTGAACGACAATCGCATCGAATTGTTTGTGATGTCGCCTGCGGCGAAAATTGGCAGCGGAGCTTGCCCCTCTTTTCCTCGGATGCGAAGCTCTTGGTCAACTTTGACCCATCCTTTTTCGTCAAGAAACTCCTGAGGCACAAAGTTGTTGTTCGGGATGGCTCCAGTCGCGGAGATATATAGATCTGCTTCCAACTTCTCCTCGTTGTCTAGGAAGATCTCCCAGCTGCCAAGGCCCTTCACAGGAGGAGTAGTCTTAATCACTTTACGGGACGATCGGACAACCACATTTTTGTTTTTGAGGAGTTTCATCGCCGCCTCGCTACCTGAAATTTTGAGCATAGGGAGCACCCTTTCCGTTGCCGAAACGATGGTTATCGAGACTGGTTTTTCCACCTCCATGGCAGCCTCGGCGAGCTCACCAGCCAGCTCCACGGCAATTGGGCCACCGCCTCCGATGACAATGCTTGACGAAGTAGATATCAGTTCCTGAGCGGCTTTAATCCGAGACCTCATGTCATCACTATTGGACGCTTTGAAGGGAATCGGCGTGCTCCCGGAGGTGATGGAGGATTCGGTCGTGCTCCCAGACGCGATAACAAGGTAGTCGAACGAGAAGAGGCCCTGGCCATCTACAAGGACTGTTTTTTCCTCAACGCTCAAGGAGGTCACCTTTCCTTTGACGAATTTGAACGATTGTGACGAGTACTGCCGGAACGCATCTTCAATTGAAATCAGATATTCATCCGACCGGAATGCAGCTGGTTTTGCTAGAATCCGCGGAGCCGCTATAGGAAAATAAAATGTCGGTGACGGATTGATTAAGGTGACTTTGATTGAGAGGGTGCTGTTAAGAAGACTGTGTGCGATGGGGAGACCTGCAAATGAGGCTCCAATAATCACAACATCAACCTGTTTCGTCATTGCGCCGGGTTTGAAGAAGAGATCATCCTTCTGGAGTGCTACCGATTCACTATTTATCCAACGAGACGCATTTTTTGCCTTGTCAAGTTTCCGGCCCGCTTTCTCTTCCTTTGTCGCCCCTTCCAATTTTTCTAGGGTTACTCCGCCAGGGTTACTCCGCAACTCCGCGGAGGAACTGTAATCTCTCTCAATTTGGCCAGGCTCGCTTTATTACTCTTCGGGCCGAGATTGCGTTATTTCCGGGATAATGTCTGGCAACTCCAGGTCTGTTCCTCTCGTTTTATCGCGTACAGTTCGACACTTACTGGGCTTCGGGAACATCATGATTGAATCGCTGCTTGGCCCGTAATCGTGCTTTATGCTGTTCCACCATGGGACCCAACTGAAGGAGGTGTTATGGCCGAAGTAGGATGGATTACTAAGCTGGTTACTTCCATATCTTAACTACGCAGTCACTAAATAGTAATAACATCATTTTTTTGCCTCCAAGCTTATTCCGTAACAGGAGGTCAAGCGAGCATCCCACGGAAGGAAAGCCACGGGGGTGCTATAAACACCGTACAGGCGGCAGCATGATATAACTAGTAGCTGCCATGAGTTAAAAATGCAGCGCATCAAATGACCTCCTAAAACAAAATGATCATACAGTTCGTATACGTCATCAGCACATAAACGATATATAGCTTAAAAGGCAGAAATAGAATTTGCCTCATTCATATTAACCAACGGCTGAACCTATACCAAAGCCTTGATCTCACCAGCGTCCAAGCAAGTTTTCTTTTGACCGGAATAATGCACCTCCAATTAGCACTTGATTTTCACACGTCACGCAACCGGAACTGGCTGTTCTCATTCTGGCATAAAATAGGGCGTATTATCACATGATAGAGTCCTTCCCGTCGTTAAACCTGACCCTATTCTTCAACGTTTCCAGTCCCGAAATATCAATCTTGTTCTGGTCACCATCTCGCAATAGCTGCCGCGGTTTCTGGAATATTCCCACCCCCGCTCCGGTTCCCGACATGACTATCGTGTAGGCCGGAAGGGTTGTGCCTGGATTCGAGTCAAAAATATGGGAGAGAGTTCAGAGAGGAAACGATGAGAGTAGACGTACTTTGACTCATCCAGCTGAGAATTTCATCTGGGAAAAAAATCATATCTTTCTCAATCACCGTATTCTGCTTCACTTCTCCATTGATCCTGGTAACGAGACTTGTCGATGCTGTCTCCTTGGCAAAAATAGTTGGGCTCACGAGGACCGACCCGATAGGAGCAAACTTGTCCAAGTCCATGGCGTAGAAAAACCGTCCACCGGACTGTTCGGGGAGCTGGAAGAAGCGGCACGAGAGGTCATTACCAATTGTATAGCCGAGGATATACTCGGAGGCTTCCTCCGGTGTGATATCGCGGCACTCGCGCGAGGTGACGAAGACGAGCTCACCCTGGTTCTATTAACGATGGCTGGGTTGGGTCATCGTTATGGGTAGGCTTACCTCCCAGCCTGGCAGATGCGAGGCGCAGAAGCGACTGATGGGATAATGCTGGCTTAGTCTACACAGATAGCTTGGGCGGGACATTGAGCTGATGGGTATTAGATATAGGGTTTCTGGCAGATAGGCATTGGGTGGCGTACGTTGGCATCTTTCGGGTGGCTACTATAATTAAGCCCAACGCAGTAGATTGGTATGTCTACTTGTGGCAGAGGCGGAAGGAGCTGTATATCATTTCGTCAGCCCGGTAGTCCACTCGAGATTGAAGCGACAGCAGACATTGGCTGTCTTTGTTGTTGTCCCATTTTTGCCCTGAACAAGGTACTCATACGTTGGATACCCCTCTAACGACGATCCAATGGCGGGGGTAGTCGAGGCACATTTCGCAAAGAACTTGCCGCAATTCTCCGTCTGGAAATGACAGAATCGGAAGGAAACCCATTGGTTTGAGGAATAGTAAATAAAAAAACTATCAGCTTCCGAGGGAAACAGCACTTGTACGGAGAGGGAAGGTTTAAAAAATGACTCACTCAGGTGACAAGGGACCACTCGGCATTATCCAGAACGATTCTGGCCTTTCCTCATTGTCGCAATTATGTTGAAAAAGTACGCCAAAAGTTGAGAGTAGCACCCTTGGACCTAAGGCCTTGAGCAGTACCTTAGACAGAAATAAATGATGGAACAACTCACCAGAACTATAGCAATTTTATGTTACGCTCAGTCAAGAGAGGAAGAAGATCAACCAACTTAGGAGAATTTCACGAAACAACTAAGCATGGGAAAGGAAAGAAGCAGAGAGTGCGAGTGAGTGAGAGATGGTGCAAGTAGACAACTACATGGTTGATGCCTGCGGCCGCAGGCATCAACGCCGGGCAAGAAACATCACAATATGTGAATCGCCACGTTCTACGGAGTAAGTCATAAGGAAAAGGTATTTGTCCGGACATATCCCCCCGTCAGAATAAGCAAAGACATGTTGTACGTAATCTTGCTAAGCTGCGGCTCCCGCCGTATGGATTCAGGGGTATTGAACGCGAGGCGGACTTGGAACCTACATCTATCTACATCATCAATTTACTTTCTGCTTTTGGAGCATACATGTTGTCCACTTAACTGTGTATACAGTACTAGCTGGTGATACTAACACTTTCAATTCTAGGTGCTCAATTTCAGAGGCCCTCCCGCTTTCCCTCTGCTTCCTTCGCGTAGCCGCTCCGTCAGGAATAGGTGTATCCATCGCCGATATCCTTGAATTCCTCTCCTAGTAATTGCAGGTCCTACCAAGAAAGAGCCTGAACGGTGAATGGGTGCATCGCAACCTCACTCAGGCCGTCCGAAGGAGCTTACAGAGGACGATAAAGCTTGAATCTTGTATGTTATTGCTGAAATATCATGTGTGAGGCACGTATGTCAAGCAACAACGCCAATGAGCTTCTAAGAAGTCGCCCGTCTGTCTAATCGTACTAATAATCCTGACTGCTTCCAAAACCAAGCTGCATGGGTTTGCCATTCGGGAGAAGGAGAAGCCCATGAAACGTTGAAATGGCGTAGTAGTTGTGGTACGAATTTGCCCATCTCCATTATCGAAATGTTTTTGCCAATGCAGGTCCGTGCGCCATGTCCGAACTGTAGGAGCGCGACGAGTTGGTCACTTCTCAAGTAATAAGTGCTTGGGTAGCGTTGCTTACCGCTAGGAAATACCTTTCCATTGCTTTTAATGCCTCTGGCGATGCCTCTAACCAGCGTTCAGGTCGGAAGGAATCGGCATCTTCGCCGTAGATATCTGTGATATAATGGATAACGGGGGCAGAGATGCTGACATTCGTTTGCCCTGGTAATCTGTAGCCGCAAATTTCGGCACCTTCCGGGGGTGTGAATCTCTCAAGCGGGAAGCCGACACCTGGATGAAGTCTCATTGCTTCTTTCATTGTTGCTTGCCTAGTATATAGCGTGTTAGATTGTAGACATGCTCTTGCCCAGATTTCGAATTAGCCTTACAAATACGGTAATTTCAAGCACTCCTCATATGTGATAAACTTCGAAAGCTGCTTGTTTCGGTCTGCTTCATCTATTTCGCGTTGAATTTTGTCGTACACATGCTGATTTTTGACTATGTAATAGATCATAGCACGCAGAGAAATTGCAGTGGTGTCACTCCCGGCTAGACTATATGCAAAGGCGGTAATCAGCACCTGACGAAGTACCTCATATAGAAATGGACATAACCCACAGATTGTTAGACAAATGATTGATCATATCCCTGTGGAAAATTTTGCCCGAACGTTTCTCCTTTTCTCTCAACTGAGCAAGGAAATCAGTTCTTTGGGTATTCTTGTTCTCAAAATCGTGATCATATCTATCAATCTCATCTTCGGTGATCTTCAATCAACCGCACGATCAATCATGTTAGTATTGAATTTTAATGTAAAGGAGATCAGGCGGTTGTGTTGCACCCTTACCTTCATAAATCGATCAAACGTATCTGGCAGCAAATTAAGCCGCTGAAATGACCTGCTCATCAGACCCTTTTGCAGCAATGGGATTAAAAACGGCAACTGGCCTACGATTTTCACATATTGGAGGCCAATATCAATTTTTCCGATCATGTCATCGACATCACGTCGTTGCTCCGTAAATCCGAAGCGTCTCTGGAATGTGATAGCACCAATGACATCAAAAGCATACCATTGAAGCCACATTGAAAAATCAACTGGTTGGCCTTCTAGAGTGAGCATCGCTTCCATGAATATTTGTGTGCACTCGTCCGCGTAGACTTCGAAGTTTTTCATGTTTGTCATCGAAAAAATCTGGGCCACAGAACTCTTCAGGCTTTTATGATAAACAGGGTCACGGGCGGTGAACATGCTGTCCAGAACTGCGCCTTGATAAACGGGCGCCATTGCAGCATAGAATGTAGTCTTCCAGGGAACGGTTAAATTCATGACCGTCGAAGGACCTGGTGTACTTACTTTGGTAAATTTGCTCCCTATCCCGTATATTACCGGAATCATGTTTGGATCTGCAACAGAAACCTCATTCGGCCCAACTCTCACTATGGGCCCATATTTTTGGTGAATCTTCCGATAATTTAAGGGACCATCACCGTTATAGACCATCAAAAGGCGGTAGAGATAGGAGAATCGAGCGAGTACAGGGCCTGGGAGCGATCTGAGACCTTCGCGAAGTGATACGCGGACATAATTTAGAATTAGTATCACTACCAAGCCGACGGCAACGATACGTAAATTAGGCATGAGGTCCTGAAACATTAGGGGTGGGCGATAATAATTTGGATATATTGTAACTGAATGCTCTGAATTGGCAAGTTCTGACTCGTTGTCGTCACTGCCGTTTGCTTTATGTATGCAAAACTATTCCGAGGTACTGTCCTTCTTATGTTATCTATAATCGGGTTAATTTCGTAATCTTCCGTGGAGAATATGCATTCATCTACGCCGGAAGAAGCTCAATTGCTTTTCAGTCATGTTGAGTTGTGACCGGCATTAGTTACGCTATTTTACGCTGTACAAGTACAAAGTGTGGCAAGTCATAAACCATGGTTGCACGGATCCGCCGCGGAGGAACAACAGTGGCATTCTCCGTAGACGGACTTGGCCAGTCCTGGGGTAACCCCAACATCCGCCCCACCCTTAGGTGGAAACCTGGGTAGCAAGAAACAGAAAGTGGGAAAGAAAAGTCGCAATGTAGAAGAGACAAAAAGGGAAGGCAGAAATTGATGGCGGACCAGGGACATGTTTATTCTGACCACGATGTCAACAGGCGCGTGCTGTTGAATATATACGTCCATCTAACGTGGACAGAACCACCTTTTCAGTTGGTTTTGAAATTACTGAACCTCTCTGGACGAATTCCATTTCCTATAGGTCCCGCTAGGGCTGCAAGGTCTGCCTAACTGAGTGAGGTCACGTTCTGTCCTTTCTTTCGCAATCCAAGTGGCAATATTTCTCAAATTTTCTCACTAGGAACGAACTATACTTCACGTTTTCGACGTCGACTGTGAAGAATGATTTCGCTATCGGCTCGAGCGGCTTTTTTTGACTCCAAGGGGATCTACACATACACGGTAGGTTGATAACATCCACGCTAGTTATATTTAGGACTAGTTACCTACTAGGTATCCGCGTCGCCTAACACGCGCACGCGGCACTATTGGTTATTGTGAAGTATCAGCACAAGCTGAAAGTGTATGGACTAGTATGCATATTTAACGAATGAGATCAAGCGGAATCAATTCAGGATTGGAGTATTGATTGATGTGATATGATGAGTGGCACGCAGAGGATATGTTAAATGTACCTCTCCAGAGTTTTGACTAGTCCATAGTTAATATGTGGATGGGACGAATTCCGCCGTGTCTTAGACGATCCATGGGATACCCGAGAGACTTAAAAGTTGATGGCGATCTATCGCCACTACGCAAGGAAGCAGGGAAGAGAGGAACAATCTAGTTCGAATACGTGGAGAACTATCTCTGCAGAAGAACGGAAACAAAGGAAGGGAAGGCCTAAATAGGCCGAAGCAATTAACCTGGTCCTGGAATCATCCTCTAGGAAAATCCCGACCAGGGTTCTCCCGAGGGAGATCCCTATCGGATCTCCATCAAAGGTGTTGTCGCGGAACCCGTAATTACATACAAATCACAAAGAAAGGCGGAGGATGAAGGAAACCAGTAGGAGGCAGCTGTAAGTAACTGCTCCACTCTCCTCGACACTTATTATTAAACTCTCCGATCCCCTCTTTGGAGACATACCAGAGACCCCACCCAAGAGGCAGAGTTGCGAGATATGTAGCGAAAAACGCCAAAACAGACAATCTCCTGAGACGAATCGTGAGGAGAAGGTGGACTAGGCGCCAAGGAGCCGCATCAGATGTTGTGTGATTGTTGTGTCCGGTACACAAGAGGCTCAATGTGACTTATCCCGATGGCCCAGCCAAGTGATGGGTCACGATGAATATTCTGAAGCTGTCGAGCAGGCGACCAAAAGCGAACTACTTGCTGCCACTGCTTGGAGTGGGGTGCTACCTGAATATGTCCGCCGATACGATGCAAACTTCGTCCCCAGAGAAACTTTTACGATGCCTGGCCAGCAGTGCAGTTTCGACCTTGACAGGTAAATGGTTGTCATGGTCTATTTCGGCCGCGAGTTATCTTACATAAATGGATGGACCTTCGGTCTGCGACTGGCCCTCTCCGTTACGCGTTGAGGCGAGGCCACTACATCGCCAATAGTTGTAATTCCTTCCACTGCTCAAGTTGTCCTCAGCCCACAGATACTCGCAGAATCAGTTCAGCATTCCCGTGTGTTTCCAAATGAGCCCGGGCATATACTACCATAGGTTATGGAGGACAGGACTTCTTGTCCGCCTACTGATGTTGTTATTGGATCTGGAGGGATTGTTACAAGGCAGGAATTGAGTAGGATTGTACGTGTCTAAATCTCAGATATAATGCCTGAGTGGAAGTATACTGTTGACAGTGCCCACGGCACTGCTGGCACAGGAAGCAAAGAGAAGCAAAGAGAGAAGAGAGACTGAGTCAATTGGTTTATCTAAAACAGGGAGACGAAGACGACTGGGAAAAGGAAGAAGAAGCAGAAGGGAACAGAACAGGGTCTATAAGGCCCTGAAGCATAAAGGAAAAGGAACAAGGCCTGGTCCTGACAGGAAAACCCCGGCCTGCTTCATGCAGAGCCAAAGAAGACGACAAACCTTGCAAACCCTCGAGGTCAAAGGGATCGAGTCATCAACTGTCAATTATTACACAGTTATGGAGTACTAAGGATTGGCCAATCAGAGCAACGGAAGAGAAGAATTGATATTGATTGAAGTAAAGATGTGATTCTGAATTGAAGAAGAACATGAATTGAGGAGCACTCAAGGGGGTTGAAGTACCCCTGAGCATAGAGGATTCCCGGGGTACCCGAGTGTTATAATCTCTGATCCGACAGGATTGCATGGAGATTCCATACGAAAGTGTCATAGCGTCAATACGCCCGTTTGTTTCACCGTGTGTATCTGGAGATGGTGAATGGAGTACCGATTTTGGTTGACATATACTATACATTCTTCCAGATCCACATTGTGATATAATGCAAGTGTGTCCCAGCGAAGACGGCATAGAATCTATGAAGACCTTAGTGGTATTGAACTTCTGGAACCTCAACACTGAATGTGGGTACTAAGATACTTACAAGCCGGAGAGATGACTTGATAGAAACGAGGCCGTTGAGCGATATGGTCCACGGATTTGTTGGATGACGACGTATATACGTTCATGACGACGTATATACGTTCGATACAACAATCCGCCAAAAGTATTTTGCCCTAATAGGCCCGCCTAGTGAGTGTTCTGATGGCAAGAGAGTGCGACCACCCGATGGACTTTTGTGGATTACGGTCAACTCGCAAGATGTTTCCCCTTTTCAATATCTCGGTCCACAGTCCTAGTTCCGTCACCTGTGCCTCATAGTCCGCCTTACATGGTTCTGGCCACGGCGTTAAGTCCGAATCATATCGCCAGTATACATCGATTTGGAATTATGTGATGGGCGAGGGTTCTGAATCACCGCCGGGGAGGAGGGGCGATTTCTCGGAAAGGGGGTTAGACAGCGGCCGATAAATTGACCGACGAGGACTGGAAAGTGCTCCTGGAGACATGGCTCGGGCGATAGTTGGGTTTAGTATCGGCCGTTGCGGGTACGGGCACGCACGAGATGGTGCAAATTCGCCTCCACAAGCATGCGTAACACGCATCTAGATAGTGACCGGGAACGCAAAGCCAACGATCTTCTAGACATGAACAAAAGGTGTACAATAGATTGTTGCATAATAATTAGACACAAATCGAGTGTAGCAGACAAAGTACACTACGCCAACGACTCCTCTATTCGTCCGCAGCTCCTGAGTATCGCGAAAGCACCCTTGAGGATATTCTCGCTGCCGGGCATCATCCCAGGAGGAACATCCTGATCAGGTTGAAGACTGCAGTAGTGATTGAAAGAAGACTCATTGGCAGTAAATTGCCAACCGTGGGGCTCTCCGTACGCAATCTCCAAGTCAACGACAGCTCCGTCAGCCCGTACTTGCTGAACAAAATGTCGAACATCGTCAAGGAAGATATCATGACTTCCAACATTGATCCAGGAATGCATGGGCAGCACATGGCTCCAAAGTCGCCCATCGCTCAATGGTTTCGTCAGATCCAAGATTTCACGAGCGGGAGTATTCATGTTCCGGTCTTTGCCAACGACCAGATCCACGCAGCGATCCAGTAGATATTTATTGAGAACATCTTTGTTCTTGTTGGCTCTGAACGAAGGCGCGCTATTTTTCAAGTTGACCCAAGGAAAGAGAAGCAACGCTCCAAGCGGTTTGGGGAGCTTCGCTTCTGCCAGAGCAAGTAGGCAAGAGAGAGACAGATGTCCACCTGCAGACTCTCCTGCGATGATAACATTACTGGCCTCGATCTTTTCCACCTCTAGAAGATAGCGGTACGCTGCTACAGCCTCATTTTGCTGAAGCGGGAATCTAGCGAACGGTGCTAGCGTATACTCCACCGTGAATATACTAATCGAGACTCTCTGCTCCGCTGCACGTTCGGCGACTCTAAGAAGCGTCAGAGCCGCACCCAGTGGGTCACCAAAGCAGTAAGCTCCTCCGTGAATCCACAAGAGTACTATATCACTGTCCTTTGGCCTCTGGGATCTCCCAGGGGGCCCCTTACAGATCCAGTAACCTGAACATAGGCCGTCAACCACACGCATACACAACTGATCACCTCGTTCTCTGAATCTTGGAACATCGACCAGTTCTTGTACGGTTTTGGGTTTGAGAAATCGGCGAATCGTTGATCCAGGAAGAATAGAGAACCTGCGATCGCCAGTAAGTATGCAAACCCTCAACAAACAGACAAGGACGAATAGTTACTCGCGCAGAAACGAGCGTCGGGCGTTCTCTTTGAGCGAAATTTCCTTTCCGAAACGTTGTCTATGAAGAAGCATTGAAAAAATTATTGCCGGTAACGCAATAACGGAGACCCCTAGAACGCAAAGGGCGTCTTGAACGGTTGATACCGTTGTCGATTCAATCATACCAGTAGCCACGCCCGACCCCAGGATTTTTGAGCCGAGAATAGAAGAGGAGAAAATTGAATGAAAGTCCATGACCCATAGAATATCTCAAGGTTCTTGAGGACACGCTAAAGCCGACATGCCACAGTCACTCTTTCACTAACGGGGGATGTCGTCGATAATTTCTTGTGGAGCTTCGGGAACCCACCTTCCGAGGTGAGCGATCTCAGCTCAATTTGGGGCAAGCTTGCGAGTGCGCAAGCCCCTCTTTGGTGGTACCGTAGCACGGTGAAATTCTTCCGCGGAGTAACCTTTAGTATAACCGGAGTGATTCTGCGGAACGTGGCGAGAACGCCATCAGATAGGAGCCACAACTTCGGAGCCGGCACTTTCATCTGCCATGATCCAGCCCAAATATCCTATCCCATGGGGGTGGGTGGTATCGAGTGTATAGCTGGCCTCTACACGAAAACGCCCCACTACCGACACCAACCTAAAATGCGCTAAGCCCCTTTGGGAATCTAATGTAGAGCTGAGGTTCTGTAAGTAGACTAGCGTCTTGTATTAAACAGCGGAATACGCACAGAAGATTCATTTTCCCATTAATGTTATGATATACCCTGGCATGAGGTTATTCCCAAGTGTTGGTGCCTCAGGCTCCCCGGACCTGATAAGCCGGCAGGCTTTCTGTGGAGGTTCGCTGGGGCTTCGTCATCAGTACGTGCACGAACTCCTGCAGGGAACACCCTTGACAGAGGTTACACAAGCCTCGTGTTTCACCCCGCTCCTATTTCCCTACCAAGGATACATCTCCTTCCTGTTTGAGCGATGAGACTGTATATAAATTGACCTATGTTGAAGAGGTTTTACGATCCTCAAGAAACAGTCTTTGACTACCTCACACTATTGACTTGGCCCCATTTCTCCTACCTGATTGACAGGCCTCTATCCTGACTCATAGAGTATGTCCTTACAATTAACCCCGCTCGCACACTACACACACCCATTGCATCAGAAAGCAGCAATGGCTACTGAACGCCAGCTAAATCTGCTCGATAAGGAAAATGACCGCCTTATTAGAGCGCGTAGGGAGAGAGATAGCGATAACCGTGTATGTAAATATCTACTAGATATTTGATAGATATCTGACAGATATCCCGCTACTTTCTAGTGGCAACCCTTCGAATCAGGCCCGACCTACCTTTCGTACGGCAAAGGTCCTAGAGCTTAACGTCTTATCGCTTCAGATATTGAATACGTGAAAAACCTTCCTGAGTATCCGCAAACTAGCGAGGGTAGATATACCTATATGTCGGATTTATGGGATCAGCATAAATCCTTCGGCGTGCACAAGCAAGCGAGTGTGCACGGTTAGTTAAATCAGTATACGATTAGCGAAGAATCGTATAGGTCAAGTTAGGTCGTACGATTCAGCTTAGAATCGGAAGTTAACTTATGATAGAAGAATACTCTAACTTTATCACAATCATTAAACTTGATTCAACTAGCTATAGAAACAGGCAGGATTTATAACTTCATAAAATCGAGGCAATACGTCAGACTAGAATCTTATAGAAATCAGGAGAAATATAGAGCGTTGAAGCTCTTTCGTTATGTGTGTAATCTATTGATGTCAATCGTTGAAGATCGTCGTCACGTGGACGTTCCGTCGCATTCTGTTAAGTTCGATAGGTCTCATAGGCTTATACACCCACTTATGTCGACACACCCCCTCAGCTCTTAATGTGAGGTCAAAGTGAGAGCTGAATGAGAGATATCAGGAGGATGGGGACTTTTCTGTAGGTAAGATCTCTATGCCTAGCTGTTGAACAAAGGCAGTATGTTTTTCTGCAGATAAACGCTTCGTGAGGCTGTCGGCTATTATTTCAGCCTATTTGACCTATTCAATTCGTAATCGTCTAGCTTAGACTTCCTAGCGAATCCAAAGCTACTAGATATTAACATAACGAAGTTTAGTCTGAAATATTGATTTCTTACGCGTAAGCAAATTAACTGTCTGCTGGTTATTGTATTCGATTATATCTAATTAGTTAGTTTCGAATTAGATAAAGGAAAAGAGGTGTTTAATCTAATAGAGCTGCTTAGCTGCGTAGCTAATAGCTAGCAATTCGGCTTCTGTAGTCGACATAGTGATAATCTTCTGCTTGCGCGATTTCTATTTAATTAGGCTACTAAATAGGTAGAAGATGAATCCTTTAGAGCTCTTTCGGTTAGGATTGTTAGTAAAGCTTGTATCTAAAGCGGTAGTGAAGATAGAAGCTCTTATTTCACTATTAAAGCAGAGCGAAAGGTATCTTATTGTATAGAGATATAGTATTAAATAGTCGACAGCTGCTAAATACTTCTTATTACAGCGAGTAAGCGATTTAGCTAGCAATTAGTTAGCGAATACAGTATCTAGTCGGGTCTAAATAGCAGGGAAAAGAGTAGATCTACACTTTTGTTGATATAGGTTAATAATCTTCGGGTCGATTAGTTCTGTTAGAATTGGATTAAGCTTATAGGCTAGAAGCGGCAGTTTCGGGGCTTTCTAGCTGTTTAGCAGGTTAAATTTAGCACCTATCTTTTTAATATCAGCTGCTTAATTTAGCTAGGTCTTTTGTTTTAATCGATTATATACGATTCAAATACTAATAAACTATATTAGTTCGCCGCAATCTTTTATCTCGAATCGTTCTGAGAGTAGTCTTTTGATTTACTGAGCGTATAAACTCTTACTTTTGTGATAGGCAGTAAGGAAATCGTCGACGAATACTATAATAATTATACGATTATCGGTATAAAGGGCAGGGTTATCAGGGCAAGGTTTGAATCTAAGTAAGAGCAGTATATCTTTAATATTATCTTCCTATCGCTTACTAGCGATTCGTAGGCTATATACTGCTTTATGTAAGCGTAAAACTATCGATTTCCTGCCTAATCCTAGGGGATATCGGCAGTAAACTTCTTCCTTTAGTGAGCTGTTTAGGAAGGTATTGACAGTATCTATCTGAAAGGTCTTAAGGTCAAATCGTGTGATAATCGCGATAAGCTTGCGAAACGTTCTAGCCGTAAGTGTGCTAGTGCGAGCGTCTTAGTCGTCAGGCACTTGTGTGTCTCTACGTATATATAAGCGGGCTTTGAAGCGTGTGAGATAGCCTAATTCGTCTGAATTATAAGCGAATACCTATCGTATTAGGATAAACTAGTGGCGTAAGCAATCTGATTAGTTAATTCCGTTACAATTCGTCTAGTATATATGTGTGACTAGATGTGCGCTTATTAGTTCGAATGCACGTATATCTATAAGCTTATTGAATTCATTCTGTATAGCTTGACGAAATTAGCTCTCGAAAGGGTAGCTAGCTAGCTAATTGTAGCCGGATAGTGTAGGTGGAATAGAGGATATTAGAATTTTTAGCTACTTTTGTATGCTTTTGTCTAGTAGGAAAGCCTGCATAAACGCTGTGAGGTTGATATAAGGGCGCTTAGCTTTGTCTCGGGTAGCATCTGAATCAGATTGTGGGCGTTTAGTCGATATAGTAAGCGGCTTATAGCCGGAAGGGTCGAAATTAGTATTATTAATAAGCACGAAAGGCTGTATCTGGCTAGATTAGCCGGTATCTTCAGTATCAGAAGGGTCTGATTAGTCAGATTGGTCAGATTAGTCGAATTCGTCTGCTTTTGGATCCAGTAGAGGGGTAGGCGGTTAGTCTCTAAGGATTTCGTTATGATCACTTAGAACAGTGTCGCTTAGAACAGCGTCGTTTTGATCAGAAGTAAGCTGAAAGTGAGGGAAATTTAAGGTTTTAGAAGGCTGAGAGGGTGCAGCAGGATCTAAATTAGCCGTCGTACTAGGGCCTTTACCCCCTAGATTATGCTGTATCGTCTGTTAGGAGGCAATTGGTATATCGATATCGTCAAGGATCTTCAGCGTTTCTTCATCATCAAGAGTAGTAATCGGCTGCGATAGATTGCTATCTTTATAGATACGAATCTTCTGATTAGGCAGTGAGGAATCGTAGAATTCGTTCTCGTTGAATTGCACGTCCTATACACGAATCACTCGGCGATTAGAGGGTATCTAAATTCGCTAAATATTGTATGCTTTATAGCCTACTAGGTAGCCGATAACCGTGCGTAGCGCTAGATTAGCTAGTCTAGGAAGCTTATTAATGCGTACGTACGCTTTGCATCCGAAAATTCGTATATTCGAAAGGTTAGGTTTGGCTTGTAGCCAATATAGTGTATTGTCGCCTAGATAGGCTGCGAGTGCTTTATATAGCGATTGCTAGTTGATTAAGCGGTGCGATATACGATTTTGAATATAAACAGCTGTTTTAGCTACTTTAGGCTATAGATAGCTTAGTAGGTTTGCATTGATCGTTATCTGCCTAGCTATCTTTAATATTAATGCACTATATCGTTCAGCGTAGCTATTTTGATCAGGCTGATAGGGCGGAGTAGTCTCTAGCTTAATTCCGCGAGCGGTTGCTTACTGATTGAAGAAGTCGGATAGTGCTTTTTTCGTTATCTAAGTGCACTGTAAGGACACTTAGGTTGAATTAGTTTCGTACAAAATCAATTTAATCAGAAAGGGATTATATTGAATCAGTCTTCGAAGGAAGGTCTTACGCTAGCTAGTATTTAGTCACAGGATCAACCGAATATGATAGGTAGGACGTTTTCGTAAA